AGTCGATCACAGTGTTGGAGCTGTGGATGGATAGTTGTAAGACTTCAATTAAACCTGTATTATTATGGGAAAAAGCAAACACTCGACAGTGAAATCATTCTAGATCGATGAACAAAACTGTTATGTTAAAACATGGTGAACAACTAGCTTTCTAGTAATATACAAGTCCGGTTGTATACTCATTTTCCTAGCAATGAAAAAAAACATAATGAAAATTACGACTGATGGCCGGATTTGTAGTAGGTGATACATGTTTCAAATCGATGATGAAATTTCTACGCCCAAAAAAGAAAAAAAAAGAAAAATAACCAATGTGTATAGATTTATTTAACCAATGGGTATAGCTTCCTAGTAACCATTTATTTAAAAATTCGTTTCTTAAAAATTTCTAAAAATAACTAATGTATCATCTAACGAACCTCTTGGTTTCTAAATTGCAAACGATTCTATGAGTTACCTGACATTCTAGCTATCTACTAGTTTAAGTTGGTTTTCTTTTGTGTGATTTAATAACATTCATCGCACCAAATGCCAACTAGGAATACAAATGTATTGTGCAAAACTTCATACTTTCACATTTGATAGTACAATTTCCTTCCCTTCCATATTCCATATAGAGACACTTTAGTCTTTAGCGAGCTCAATTGTGCACATGACAAACATTTAAAATCTACTAACTCTACAAACTTTTGGTTACTTAAACTCTCTAGCATTGCATTACCATGACAGATAGAGTTTGATATTTCTAGCCATAATTTGTTTTATGTTAAGTATCAGTTTATTTTACTATGTCGAGTAATTTTACTGGGGTTCTACGTGCTAACATGTAATCTAATCACAATGTTGCTTTAATTCTAGATTTTTCAATGCAATTAGTTTTAAAAATTCACAAGTCAATTTTAGTGGTTTAAACAATAATACACATGAATACAAATTTCAACACATTTATAGCAATGCCTTCACAAATTCCTTTAGTCTAAGAAATGCATAAAAACACATTTCACTATATTGCAAAACCGGGTGTGATGTGTAATTTTTCTCTAGGCTACGAAGATACACAAATACATGCGATTTTGCAATTTTTTCATGTTCTTCAAGAATTTAGAAATACAAAACTGCTTAGTTAAAATTTTCATTGGTTACCTATATATATAGAAAAATACTTACAGAATTGACAAGCCGTCGTCACACTAGTCAAATAATAGTCAAATAATAATTACCTACTTAATACAATTACTAGTAGTAAAGTAGCAAGCAGGGTCGATCTCCACAGAGAAGGAATACTAATTACCAGGTATAAATTACTCCTATTATTATCTAGATAAATGATGATCTCAGATTTATAAAATTTAAAACTAAAATAAATAAATAAAATAAAAGCAAATAATATTAATTCAAATAATCAGACAAAGAAAACCTAGGACATTGGGTTCACCTACCGAATATTTGGTTTGGTTTAATTCATAAATATCTGACTTTTAACTTTCATTAATCTCACAACGATTCACCTAATTAAGAACTATTCACTGTCGTGATATAATTCTCTTACTCTAATTAATCCTATGACTGCTGTCGTGACTGTAGGAAATAATTAGAGCACATTAAGAACTTAAGAATCTGACGTTGCAAAGGTTGTGTTCCTACTGTCGTGGTTCACTACCTAAGTCCAATATTCCCATGAACTAATATTAATTTTCAACTGTCGTTCCATCAATTAATATATTTAAACACCCAAGTAGTGGCCAGTTACAAACATGGAATAAAAGCAAGAATATTAAATATTGATCAATAGAAAATCAAAGTATCATGAATCAAATAAACCACATAAATCCGGCGGCTACATCCAAGTCCTAGGTTAAAAGAATTTAGCTACACATCATCTAAAAAATAAATAAAACAATGAAACCCGGGAGTCCGAAATTGCTTGCCCGATGATGATGCTTTGGATTGGTGCTTGAGGTAGTGATGGGCTGGGGTTTTGTGGCGTGCGAAAGGGCTGGTGGAATTGGGAGGTGATGTTAATGGGGTGATGAGGTGAGTTGGATGATGGTGCGTGGAGGTGTTAGGTGGAAAGTTTGGGCGTTGATGATGATGATGAAAGTGATGGTGATGGTGCTGCGTGGAGAAAAGAATGGTGATGTGTGGTTGCGGCTGGTGTTGTGGAGATGGGTTGCTTTGGTGCGGCGGTGATGAAGAGTTGGAGGCCGGGGGTTGCCGAAGTTCAAGGCTGATGGATGGAAGCAAGGTGGTGGTCGGCGGGGTTGATCAAGGAAGCAAGGTGGAGCAGCCGTGAGTTGCAGCGGCGGTTCGTAGGGTTTCGGTGATTTTTCGGTCAAGTTCTAAAAATAAATCCCTAATTCTCTTTTTATAGACTTTCTTCAAAACTCTACTTCTTGGAGAGGAAGAAAACTTGTTTCCCAAATAATATTGGGATTAAAATTCTTACCCAATTCCAATCCCAAATCAACCGCACCATCATCGTTGTTCGGCCAATTTCCAAAAACAAAATTTCAAAATTGCTTGTTTAATCCTCTAATTTTTCAAGTACTTTAATTTCTTGCTTGTCAATTTATCAAATCTTCAATTCTTTCCTTTAAGTTACTTTTATCTTCATTTTAGCCCACAATTTCAACAATTCCTCCTTTTGAGTACAATTCCTACAAATAAAGATAAAATCATATAAATAGTAATATTTGTACTCAAAATATATTGCAAAAATCACATATTGCGGATATAATAAATAGGTAAAATATAAGCATGTCAAGAATCATGAGTCATTGAAAAAACATGAATCAAAGTATAACCTTCAAGTTTCTAGCCAGTCATGATAACTTTTTACGAAGCATTGTACACTTTGTACTTTTTATACTTTCTTTTTGTTCATTACAATTTCTTATTGCGTCTTATCACAAACTAATATCTTGATAGTATGTAATCCACACCACGCCGAGTTGATGTCTGTTTTTTTTTCCAAACCATTAACTTAAGACGGAGTATAATTTACCTTCTTTCATATCTCAATTTATTTATAATCAAACGAGTGATTCCTTGGTGGTTCGGCTTATGTTGTACAATTCTTTGATGTCTTTATATGTAGTTTTCTAAATTTTAAAATTTAATGTTTGCGGCCTAGCAGTATTGACAAGACTCTTAAAAAAGTCATGGATCTCACGACCAAGTTGAAGTAGTGTATAACTAATTTAAACTTATTACACTGAATTTTTTTTTCAAAATAAAAACATCTAAATAAAGATTAAGTGTCCAGTCTCCAGAACAATTTAAAGAGTAGTAGAGACAGATTCAAATAATATAAATAGATTCAAAACTATTCTCTAGAAGTCTCTTTAGAATACAGTAAACAAAACTGCCAATTCAAAGCAGCTTAACGAGCATGGTTGGTATTCACCACCAGAGACTAGATGTGCTTCTGTATATTTTTCAGAGAAGAGATTTGATTCTCAAACATAGTCGTATCACTTCTTATAAGCTCTTCATCTGAGGGGAAGAGCATTTGGGTCATGATGGGCTCGGAGCGGAACTACCTTTCTATTTCCTCATATGTTGTCTTTGGAAGAAGCTCCGTGTGTTTTTCCTCAATAACACGGGATTATTTATCAATATGAGAGGCAAGACATTGGATACACTTATCTAGGACAACCTAATCTTCTGCCTCGCTGGAAAACTTCATATTCACGTTTGGTAATAGGTTTCTTCTAATTGGGCAAATCAAGGCACTCAATTTCTTTCTCCTCTTCGGATGGAGTTCCCACATTCTTCAATTCTTTTACGCCAAAACTTTGACCCATCTTCTTCACTTGATCCATCATCTCTTTAATCCGGAGAGTAAAATATTTAAGTAACTTCGTTCTACGATGAAGGGCCTTTTTACTCTGGGGCTTTCCCACATAACAACAAATGGCATCAATTCGATTCCTTTGCCAAGTGAGACACTCCTGTAGTCCGGCAAAGATCACACGTTTGTCCACCGGATTCTGCATAATAATTTTCTCTCACAGCATTTCAATTGGTGACAATTTTCCCTAATTGAAATTTCTCTGTTCTCTTCTCTCTCTGCAAAAATTGAGTTTTAGGTTTAAGCGGTTCTGTTTTATAGTTTCCTTTTATTATTTTTGCTTGAATATATAATAATAATAATGAGTAAGTCGGTGGGAGTCATCATCCATTGGTTTGTGCCCATGTTTTAACTCTTCATCTCCAAAGTTTTTGGGCCTAATATCTTCATTGTATGAGAATTCGTTATCCATAAAATAAAGCTTATAAATTGTAAGTTTTTTTTTCTTTCCCGATTTTCATTTAGTTGATTGATAACTAATCCGTTTCTTAATTTTTTGGAAAATGATATATATAGTGAAAAAAAATAGTGACAAAATATAGTGACTGATATAGAGTAATTATAGTCCTCTATTTTTTAGTTACTTAACCGTTGAAATTATATCTTTCCCATAAAATTATATTTTTACCCTAATTAACAAGTAATATATTTAGTCACTGATATGAAGTGTGGTGGACTTGTCTTTTCATTAGTCACTATACATTTTCACTATAATTACTCACTATCTCTATCATTGCTCTATTTTTTTTTCTATTAACAGAAAAATAATTACTTGGTTGCAAATGGAAGACCTTTGAGCTTTGATATCTCAAGGAAACCTTGAATTCCTCAGTTTCTAATTGCGTCTAAGTACTAGTCGGATTCTATACTTACTAATGAAGAAATGATCGATATCGTAGATTTATAGTTGTCCTCTGACTGGTGTTCATAATCGATTATTAATCCCTCTCGTAATTAGCAATTTAGCATTCATGATGTACGTGTTCCCTCTTCACCCGTGTTCATGATCCAAAAGTCAAAGATTCCTTAAAAATAATAATTAATAAAAATTCATTAACTATCTTTTATTACATGATGACTTGATCCCAAAGCTCTAGGATTATAAATGGAGTAGTATGACCCTTTTCCTCCACATGCCCAAATTTAATGCCTTTTGAAGCTCTTCTCTCTCTCTCACTCACGAGAGTGATGGGGGCTCTTACTACTGCTCTTCTGGTGATGATGGTTATGGTTTCTGTATTTCCTCCCATTTTTGGAGAGGAAAAAGAGATCATGAGAACGAGGAAGATGAGCCGCAGAAAATGCAATATATACAAAGGGAGATGGGTTTATGATGCTCATTCGAATCCTCTTTACAACTCCAGAGATTGTCCCTTCATTGAAAAGGTGTTTGATTGCCAGAAAAATGGACGACCTGATCAAACCTATCTCAAGTTTAGATGGCAGCCCACCGATTGCGATTTGCCAAGGTACGTTTTTATCTTAGATTAGTACTTCATCAATTTTGTTTTGATGTACATTGCAATTTGATTTTGATGGTTGCCAATGGTATATTAATAATTGTTCTCATTCCTTTCTTCCTTGGATCATTTCTTGGGTGTGCATTTTCTTATGTGGTGTGGAAATGGACGTCCAATCAAACACATTGACAACATTCTATCGATCTTATCTCTATCTCTTTTTCCAGTATGTTCTTAGTATTCTCTTCGTCCCAAAATTATTATCTAATTTGGTTTTTTATTTTTAGTAGAAATAGATGTTTGATGATTTGATATGCATCTTAGTTCTTATGTATCAATAGCATTGAAGAAATTCACAAATTTATTCATACCTCAACTTAGGAGCTCGGGGATGAATTATAATAAGAAATTGAGAAATATCAAGAAAGAGAACCTTCAATCAAAGTTTCCCAAGATACATTTTTTCCAAACCTAAAACGACCTATATTTTAAAATGAAGGGAGTACTTCTGAAGCTTCCTACTGTAATTACTGATGCGTTGGCATCTTAATTGGCTGACAAGATGTCAGACCTTTTTTCATTGAGCAAAATCAAAGGCACATGTATTTTAAGGTATTGCTAAAACACTTGGCGCCCGATACAAACCTCAAATGGAATGGGCATGCATATAATTACAAAGTCAAATTAGAAGCAGCCAAAAATTTCTTTTCTTGAATTACAAGTCTCATGCGGCAATTTTAACACTTTGTTAAAACTCTAACGATTACTAACACTCTTCATGAACTCGATTTTTTTTTTTTTTTTTATTTTGGGTACATTTTTTTAAGTTACAGTTGACATGATGAGAGCAAAGAGAAGCTTTTGTTTAGTTCATATACCGACTAAACAAATTAAGGGTTATGCATCCTTTTCAATTATATAGGTTTGACGGAAGAAGTTTCTTGCAAAAGTTGAGAGGGAAACGCATAATGTTTGTGGGGGATTCACTTGGTTTAAATCAGTGGCAATCGTTAACTTGCATGCTTCACAAAGCAATACCTCGTTCAAGATTTACTTTAACCAGGACTGGAGGCATTTCTACGTTTTCTTTCGATGTAAGCTTTAATTACTTCATTTCTGATTTCCTAAATTTTCTTCGCATAATAAGTTTGTAATATTATCTGATTGATTGTATAGCTTCAAGAAGTAAATTTCCTAATAAATATAAATATGTTCGTATACTAATAACTGCTATTTTTCCACTGTCAAAATGGTGTCTTTTTTCCTGAAACATTAGTTATCTATTTCTCACGAATTACTATACAATAATTACTGTATTATGTTACTGTTTCTAAAGGGGGAAAAAAAGAATAAAGAAGTCACATTGATTGTACTATTTCAGGGGCAATAGAATCACTTTTTTGAACATTATAAATCGCAATTTAGAAATCTCTCACAATATCTCAGTTAATTTATTTAAATGTGGTATATGTTGGTTTAAAACTATCGATATCAAGATTCATGCATTTATTTATTTATTTTTGTTGGAGCACCCTCTTTAAAGTTATTAACTCTAATAGCTTCTAATCCAATTACTACTTTTCATCAGGAATATAATGTCAAGATATCTTTAGCTAGAAATGCTTTTCTTGTTGACATTTTAAGTACGAAGATTGGACATGTTCTTAATCTAAATTCAATATCGAACGGGAAGATCTGGCTGCAAAACGACATTTTGATATTCGATTCGTGGCACTGGTGGATTCATACAGGACGACAACAAGCGTATAAAAACTCACTTCTCCTTATTTCGAAGCTCAAAATTGCAATTTTCGTCACTTAATTATCTGTTTAATTATTCATTTATCAATCTCCCTCTTGTATTGTTCTTACAGGTGGGATTACATTCAAGATGGAAAGAAAATTTATAAAGATATGAATCGGTTGATAGCCTTTGAAAAAGCATTGAGAACATGGGCAAGATGGGTGCAGTATCATATCGATCCCAACAAAATTAAGGTCTTCTTTCAAGAAACCTCCCCATTTCATATAGAGTAAGTATATATATATTTGCACAATTTTTTTTTCCCCATTTCGTATATATTATAGCCTAATTAAATGATCCATTGATTTACATAGTCCAATTCCTTTTATTCAAAATGATTCGAATCAATCATCCAACTTTATTTCACGTTCGATTTAAGATCACACGAGTGATTTGATCAAAAACATATTTCACGTTTCCCTGAAATCATAATCTAGATATTGACATATTTGAAAATTTGTGATTTGGACTAATTAATGACCTAATTGAGCCATGAACTTAAGAGTAAAATGGACCATGCATTAGGGCAATTTTTCATACATTTTCAACAAAAAATAAAATAAAATTACATGTGTTCGTCTGAAAAAAAAAATTAAAAAAAATCAGTGCAAGTGAATGGGGAGGCCGGACGGCGACGGACTGCCAACGGCAACGGAATCCGCTAAAGCCACCGTATCCAGCAGGACCGGATCCAACTGAAGCTGTGGTGAAAAGAGTACTAAGAAGCATAGCTAATGCTCCTCCTACTAATAGAGTTAATTTGTTGGAAATAACAAGTTTATCTCAACTAAGGGTTGATGCCCATCCAACCATTTATGGGCTTGGAGGAAAACACCTTCCAGATTGCAGTCATTGGTGTCTTCCTGGTGTTCCTGATACTTGGAATCAACTCCTCTACGCTACGCTTCTTTATTAGCAAACTAGATATTATAGTACCTTTTATTTTTCTTTGATTATTTTATAGATACAGTCTCTTTAATTTTTCGTTCTTGTAATTTTTCCTTTCATGTTTTTTTTTTTTTTTGATTTGGAAAATTGACTAGCTCGATTAATTAGTTGGTGACAATGATTCATTGTCGTCCATGGATAGTAGCTTCATGTTGCATTGGAATGGGACTTGGGTAGATTGATTCCATTTTTGGTTGGATCTCTTGTTAAACAATCGTTCAATCCCATTTTTATTGTCTTGTTTTATTTTCTTCAAATTGAACGTTAAAAATGAAATAGAATGGCGAAATAATAATATCTACAAAATAATCACTTGATCCTTATTTTATAGTGAATTTAAATTTTTGTCTCATTTATTAACCCAAAAAAAAAAAAGAAAGAAAGAAACAGAATGGCGAAGTAATATCTATGAGAAGTTGAGAACTTGGGTATATAACCAAGAAAATCACCTTTTCAAAAAAAAAAAAACAAGAAAATGGAAAATAAAAACATGTTTCCTTTCCCAACCCAATACAGATTACCACTTTAAGCCTCTATAAGGAACCGCTTGACCTGTGAGATATCATGATGTAGCATCTAGTACTGGTATGTTACAGTTCTTGTCAATTTGATCCCATGTTGAAGTCAAGAACTCACGAATTGCCAAAAAGATAACTACTCCCTCCGATCCTTAATATAAGCCATTTTGATTTGTGCTAAGTTTCACTTAATATGTATTTTTTATTGACAAAAAAACTTTACAGATATATTTTCAGATTCGTCGTGTTCTCTTGATTATTATGAAATATTTTTAAGGTTTTTTGGTCAATGAAAATGCGTAATAAGTAAAATTTTAAAAAAATCAAATGCCTTATAATAAGGACCGGAGGGAATACATAAGTTACCTTAATAAATAATTGAGAAAAGCAAGCTCAGATTCTTACTAGTCAAATAATTAAATGTACATATACTATAACTGCCATGTTCATTTTGCTTAATTACAGGTTGTCATTGTCGTCTTTAGTCGAGACAACCAATTGACAATCAATCATGTTTTTCAATCTCATTTATCAAATATACATACTTTTTAAATACAACTAGCTAACTTCATTTTCTTTTTCTTTTCCTTTTTCTTGTTTTTTGGCATGAACATATGCTACAACTCAGAGAACAGTCAGATAATTATTCCAATTGCATTTTTTTAATATCTTTTTTTTTTTTTTTGGGAAGATACACACAACTTCCAATGCACTAAGATAATGTACATAAATATCAATTCTACAGATCTTTTTCTCGGTCTGGCTGAAGTCATGAGCCGTTTCACCCTGTTTCTGCTAATCGTGTTTACGGTTAGCCTACAGCTTCCTTCAATTTTCGGAGCCGGGATCGGTAACGGTGTCGGAAGCAGAAAGTCAACGTGTAACTTGTACCAAGGGAACTGGGTTTATGATGCTTCGTATCCACTGTACAATTCCGGGGATTGTCCCTTCATTGACAGTCTTTTTGATTGCCAGAAAAATGGTCGGCCTGATCGGAACTACCTCAAGTATAGATGGCAACCCACCAACTGCAACTTGCCCAGGTAACCTACAAAATCAAACTATCTACAGATTCTGATCTATATCGATTCTTTGAAAAATTAAACATTGTTTGTATAATGTCATTCCACTTTTCGATTGATTTTGGGTTGGATTGACTTTTTTGATGATGTGCACGAATTAGTGTTAGTTCATTACCATCCATAATGCCGTTTGCTAGCGCAGTAGATCATTATTAGTTACTACTACAGTATATCTGACGTGGTACATCTTTTTTATAGTCGATCACATCATTTTATTTTAATGTGAATTTTTACTCGTTATATCATCTGTACCGTAATTATTACTGTATAATGACTTCATTTTATTGTGTTACAAATAAATGATAGCAAAAATTTATGTGAAATATATATACCCTTGATTCTTCCACATGATCGATCGAACAAATACTTTAAAGTTACCATCTAATGATCTATTCGCAACATATCGAACGATCCAAGTAATCAACCTTTGTGCCACCTAATAATAGGTTCGATGGGAGAAATTTCTTGCAAAAATATAGCGGGAAACGCATCATGTTCGTTGGAGATTCCATTCTTTTGAACCAGTGGCAGTCATTTCTATGCATGCTTCACAAAGCAGTGCCTCAATCCCCATACACTCTAACACAGAGTGGAGGCATTTCCACATTTTTTTTCAAAGTAAGCCTTCAATAATCATGTACTTTCTTCACTTCCTTAATTTTGTTTCACATTACGTGGAACAAATATGATTTTTTTTAAGACAGAGAGCAATGTAATTAAAATCAATGTACGTGCTAGCTTTATTTTCTTCTAACTTATAAACTTTTCCCTACATTAAATCAATATTTTGCATTGTTGGATTCAATCTCAGGAATACAATGTCAAAATTCAATATGTACAAGACCCTTTTCTAGTCGACATTAAAATTCAGCGTGTTCTTGGGATGGACGGTCAACGTGTTCTTAAGCTGGATCAACTCTCCAACTCCAAGGGCCAAATGTGGCTGCAAAACGATGTCTTGATCTTCAATTCTTGGGAATGGTGGCCTCGTCCAAAAAAATACGAACCGTACGTAAACCCTCTTCATCGATCCATGCATCTTCAAACTAATTCAATCACATCTTTCATATAATTGGATAGTGAATTAATTCATTAATAGGTACAATTGATTGATTGGATTTCTCTTTCCGCAGATGGGATTTCGTTTCTTATGGAACAAGATTTCATGCAGAAATAGATCGACCCACAGCCTTTGAGAGAGCAATGGAAACATGGGCAAGATGGGTCAACGCCAATGTTGATCCCAACAAAGTTAAGGTCTTCTTTCAAGACATCTCCCCAGCACATACAAAGTAAGTGAATAATAAACAATTTAACATCTCCCGCTTTTGTGAAGTACTCTCAGTTCAATTTAGTATAACAAACTAGACTATTAAATGGAACGGATAAAATTTCACATATAGTGTACCCAAATTTCAAAATATAAAACAAATATCTTATACGTTCAAAAAAACTAAAAGTGAAAAATTCAAACTGAATTATAATTTTGGAACATGGAGAATATATATGTATATTTACAGTATTAATCGATTCTCTTTATGTATATTAGTGCAAGTGAATGGGGAGGCCGGATGGGGATGGACTGCAAAGGGCAAACGAATCCGCTGAAGCCACCATATCCAGGGGGGCAAAATCCAATTGAAGTGATATTGAAAAGGGTGCTTGCAAACATAACTGACCACAAAGTTAATCTACTGCAAATAACAAGCTTGTCTCAATTGAGAGTTGATGGGCATCCTTCCATTTATGGGAGCAGATCAGGAATAATTGGTTGCGGCCATTGGTGTCTTCCAGGTGTTCCAGATGTTTGGAATCAATTCCTATATGCATCCCTTTTCGCAAACTAAATAATATGTTATACTAAAATCGTCCACATTATGATTTTTGAAATACAATATGAAAATTCTAATGCAAACTAATTTTTTGGCTTGAGTACATTATTTGAACCCATAAAATTATTGTCAATTTCTTGTTTGATGACCTTCCTAGCATGAGAGGATGGAAAGAAATAGTTTTATTTAATCATTTTTAAGTGTGTCTTCCTCTAAATAATTAAATCATTTTATTACATCGGCAATTGATCTGTTCAACGTTAATTTTTTACCTGCCAGTAAATTTCATTCTGATTATTGCGCATAGTTTTTGGTAGATCCTGATCGGTTGCTTCTGGTTGTTATTCGTATTTGGTTCGTCGGTGATGTATTTTATCTTGGTATTGGTTAATTTATAATTCATCCAGAATGCCCAGGTAAAATGGATTATATTATTTGGTTACTGTGATATATATATATATATATATATATATTTATCGACTTCCACAATGTTCTATGCAATTTTATATAACTATTAATACTGGATAAAACAAGTTGAGATCCATGAATCAAAGGGAATGAAGAGAGAATCTTGTGAAACAGAGGTACATAAACAGAACAAAACAAAAACAAAAAAAAAAAAAAGAAAAAGTACCATTGAGGTTTTCAACTCGTGAAAATGCAAAAGATTGTTTGGCCGGCCGGCTGTAGAACTACACTCAAATTACGAGCAATACTCTTTTTTATTTTATTTTATTTTTTTTGTCTTGAACTCCAATTATTTATTGAATTGCGTAGCCCAACAACCCACTCGGACGTGATGGATTATGTTTGTTTAATCTTAAAATGAAACAGGCTGATATGGAACTAATTGTGAATGCTCCCCACTAGCCTGTCCATTTCTTCTTAAATTATTATACCCATTCATCTCTTCCGTTTACTAGCCTTCTGCATTGGGATTCTGCTTTGATTCACATGCATTGCTGCTGATCACATTTGGTCTTTTCAATTTGTGTTTACATCTTTCCCATCTTTCTATGTTTCTCTCTCTTCTGCTGCTGCTGCTGAGAAGCCGGAGATTATTCTGTTATTCCTGAGATTATTCTGGTTCTGTCTGAGTATAATTTAAACTAAAAATGAAAATATAAACTGAACAATAATTTTGAGACGAGACCTAAAACCGTACACCTTAAACCCTAAAGCCTAAGGAGTATTAATTTCCAAAGCTTCCATCTATCTTCCCATCATCCCAATCTCAATCGTTGCCCTGTCTCTTCTTCAATCTTCTCCCTTTTTCCGCCGTTCGGATACAAATAATTAACATCCCTTGACAATAGTTTACAGAATTTTCACCCACATAACAGCCATAAACATGGTTTCCACCCCGATTCCTGCTTCTACCTTACATGACTTGGACTTTTTGCTCAACACACCCTCTCCTTCTTCTGGTGGCAGAATTATAGAAGATTCGTATTTGAGAATTCCATTGAAGAAGCTCCAAACATTCGTTCTTGTTTCCTCCAGAAGAAATCTGGACAACCCAAATCAGCTGCCATCTTCTTTGTTGCATAGGATTGAAGAGACTGTTCACAGACTTGCAGAGGAATTTCATCCTGACGGTGAACAACGTCCGGATACTTCCGTGTTTACGGAGTTCGAACGTGAGTTTCTATCCTTGCTTGATGAAATAGACGAATGGTACTTCAACCTGAGGGATTCCTTGCGCCTACAATTATTAAGTGGTTCTCTTGTTACCATTGATGACATCTCCAAGCTCATCAGCTCCATTTTGGAGCTTCTTGAGGTATATCTTGACCGCAAGGGATCGGAAGATGTGTTAGAGCCGGTGATACTCTTGCAAACTCTCATCTGTTTTGTCCACAAACCCACACCCCAACTGTTGGGTCTTGCTAAAAATGTTGTTATCCATCTTTATCTCTGTTTTATGTGTCGTAGAGCACTTGAGGAGCCTTCTGGTGAAGAAACTTTTGCTAAACGATGGCTTGATGACTTGCTGTTACATTGGGTGCAAACCATCGAGCCAAGTAATCCACAGGTATCTGAGATTTACACTGAAGCACTACGCAGTTCCAAGTTGTCAACACAGTTACTTGATGATGTTGCCTTCAATATTGCAGCCAACAATTTCCTTGATTCGCTCATTCATAATGTATGGGACTTGCTACGGATTAACTCTGTTAGCTTGCTTTATGTGAAGGATAAAGTGGTCGAGTTTTATCGCAAACTCAGGTCCTTGCGAACCATTCTCAAGCAGCAGCACAACATTGCACAGGACGACATTGTGTTTTTGTTACATGATGCCGGTGTCTTGATTTTCTCTTTGTACCAAACGCATACGGAATTAGATCTTCGATGTTTTCATGATTTGTTGGAAACATTCAAGACTGTTCTGCTACGGCTTGGATTGAAGGACCCACCCGTACCAGAATTCAACTTTCCAAAGACTAATCAGTTGGGTTACGTAGATTTTGTGCTGGAGAAACTGGCGGACCTGAGAAACCGTGAAGTCGAACCAACTGCCGACAGTAAGCATGTTCAAACTATCCATGAAGAACTTGTTTCCTTAAGATCTTTCTTAGGAGACATTGCGGAGCTTCACCAAGAACACGAGGAACTTCAAGCTCTTTGGAATCGTGTTTTAGAGGTGACTCACAAGGTGGAGTGTCTCATCGATCACTTACTGGTTGGAAATCTTCCGATTTCTTCCTCAACTTCTGCTTATGCCATCACGAAAGACATCAGGGATATTAATATTAATAAGACCGCAATCAGAGTGAAGAGACCAGAAATTGAAGGCAAAAGACAGCAAATCACAGTGAAAGAAGCAACCCTGCCATCTTCCTTGGAAATAAACAATGAGGTCGTAGGTTTTGTCGGAGATGCAAAAGTAATCGAGGATCGGCTCAAAAGAGGACCAAAGCAACTGAAAGTCATTGCCATTGTGGGTATGCCGGGGGTAGGTAAGACCACTTTAGCTACAAAAGTTTTTAATGATTATTCTATTTCGCACCATTTTCATGTGCGTGCCTGCTGTCCTATCTCACAAGTATTGGACAAAAGGAATGTGTTGTCTCAACTTTTGAAGCAGGTTGATCCCAACTCTGGTTGTTCTGAGCTCAATGAGCAAGATTTAGTAGAAAGTCTGTGGCGCGGCTTAAAAAGGAAAAGATATCTCATATTATTGGATGATATATGGGCCGCTGAAGCATGGAATAGCTTGGCACCAGCATTCCCTGATGACAACTATGGAAGTAGAATTCTTTTGACAAGTCGTCATCGTGACATTGCCCCTAGTGATATGCTTGACCAAGAACCTCATTTTCTGCAGCCACTCAATGAAAATGAGTGCTTGGAGCTATTCCAGAGGAAGTTTTTCCCAGGAAGAAATGATACTTTGGATCCTGCATTACGTGATTTGTTTATGCAATTTGTAGCATACTGTAAAGGTTTACCACTGAGCATCATCCTTATCGCTGGAATTTTTGCAACTAATCAACCAGAGGATTGGGTGAATATTTGGGAAGAGTTAAGATCAGGCGATGCATCCGTTACAGAACACTGCATGGACTCATTGGGACTCAGCTACAAATATTTGCCGGATCACTTAAAACCATGCCTGCTCTATTTTGGCGCATTTCCAGAAGATGCAGAGATTCCTGCAGAGAAGCTGCTTTGCATATGGATTGCTGAAGGTTTTGTTAGGGAAACTGATGGAAAGCGCATAAAAGATGTCGCTGAAGAATATTTGAATAGTTTGATTGGAAGAAGTTTGATTATGGTTGCCAAAAGAAGATGGAACGGTAGAGTCAAAACATGCCGCATTCATGACTTGATTCATGATTATTGCTTGCAGAAAGCCAAAGATGATCATTTTCTCCATCTGCTAAAGGGATACGATGAGCTTTCGGCATTTAATGAGCCGCACAACCTTCGGAGGTTATGCATCCACTCTGAGGTCAAGCATTTCAAACATTCCAAGTTGTTTTGTCCTGGTGCCCGTTCTCTGCTTTTCCAAGACCCTCACACATTAAGTCGGTTAATAAGAGATGCCTCATTTGTGGTTAGCATCTTCAAGCTCCTACGAGTGTTGGATTTGGAGGGAATTGATTTGTATTCTGAGTTTCCAAGTGAAATAAGTTTGCTGGTTCAGTTGGCATTCCTGGCAATTCAGGGTTATTTCAGGAACATCCCGTCATCCATAGCCAAGCTCACAAATTTGGAAACTCTTATTCTGAAAATAGCCCAGAACGCAACCTCATTGCCAGATAGTCTGTGGAATCTACAGAAACTAAAGTATATTTGTATCAGGTACTGTGGTGGTATTGTGCCGATAGCAAATCTTGATAACTCATTGTTTTGGTATGAGCTGGATGTGTTTTCTGGTGCAGTTATTCCTTATAGCAGCTTGGAAAGAATAATGGCGAAATTTCCGAACATCCGAAAGTTGAAATGCGAAATTGCGTGGGTGGAGGAATCAGAGAATCGTCACACCACGATTGTAGTTCCTGAATTTTTGAGGCAACTTGAATCAGTCTATCATGGTTTAATAACTTTAACAATCCAAAATCGGTCAGGTTCAGTTTCCCTGAAAATCTGAAGGAATTGAAGTTGGGATCATTTGATTTGTCGTGGGAGAATATGTCAGGCATTGGTAAACTCCCAAACCTTCAAGTCTTTAAATTATGGTGGACAAATTTGGAAGGGGAAACATGGGAAATGAAAGAAGGTGAATTCTCCCAGCTTAGAGTTTTGAAACTGGTCCGTGTAAAACTTGTCAGGTGGAGAGCCGGTGATGATCAATTTGAATGTCTTCAGAAGTTGGTGTTGAATGTCTGTAAGAATTTGGAAGAGATACCTTGTAATTGTCTTGAGAACATTCCGACACTTGAAAAAATTGCGGTTCTTAATGCTTCTTGGGCTGTAAATGAATCGGTGAAACAAATTGAGAAACAACAGGTGGAACAGTGGGGAAATTCAAATCTTAAGATCAGCGTCGATTATTCCAGATGGGCAAGTTGATTTTTCTACACCTCACCTAGATTTGGCACACTGTTTATGTATGTTTGAATTAATGAGTGCATTTCTTCTTTCATTACAATTCCTGTATTCTTATTTCTCTTATTTCATTAGGTTGGGACAAGTTTGCTTTCACTTTTATGTCCATTCATTCGTTTCTGGTACTTGTGATCTAATTATGACAGTAGCCCGGAATAAAAAGAGTACCAGAATGTAATCACCTACCTAAAGTTCATTGCGCACTGACTCGGTGTCTTAAAATGCCTTTTTTTTTCTCTCTCTCTTTTTGTGCCGCTATTATACATGTTTAAATCTTCTTTGAATCTGTTGTCGTCAATGTTTCAGACTGACTTACGACCGACATCATACATAGTTAGTGGTATCTTCCTGATTATCTTATGAGCATATCAAAATATCGATAATTACTCCAAAATAAAGGCTCATATTATCACCCTATAATGATATCTTAATAAAATTGTAGGTTATTTTTGTGTTATTCACCGTGTGCCGGAGTAAAACAATTTATTGTGCATAATGTACTCTTTTTTCTTTTTTCTTTTTTTTTGAAAAATAGTGCATATTGTACTGTTTAACTTCAATCAAGTGAATTATTTCAACCTTGTCAACCTTGTCGGCGGAAGTTGCGATTTGAACCGCATGACGAGGTTGAGGTAAATGTGAATGAACAGCCGGCTCTCAAAACTGTTGCTTTATTTGAGGTATCTAATATTGAACTACCATTGTCAATCATTGAGAATAATAGAAAAGATGAAGCTGATCAGAACATAATTCCAAAAGGACAGGGTTCCAGAATTGGTATGGAAATTGATACTGCGGAGGCGGCATATGATGTTCATAGATTGGGATTTTTAGTGCTTCTTTGGATGTCAACATATATTTCATTTTGCCACTTAAAAGTGAAAAGTGTTTCAAATGGAAAACTAAATGGAAAATAAAAATATTGTTTGTATGTTGATTTTGAAAAAAAAGTATTTTGAACTACATTTTGAAATATCAAGCACAAGTCATCACTAAACAATTAAATACTGTCAATTATAGTCACTACAAAAAAAGAACTTTTCTAAAAACAATCACTCAACAACTGAATCCTGCCAAATTTGTCACTGAACTATTTGTAGTTCTAAAATAGTCATTAAACTAACAAAAAGTGTTTCAAGTTGGAATTTAAAATGTAAACCAGAAAATTGTTTGGATGATGTTTTCTTTTCCATTAGGTTTTGTGTTTAAGAGGTAAAATGAGTGAAAATGTAAAATAAACTATTGTCCAAACAAGGTGTGGCCTTGTTTCTAGTTGAATGAGCAATCGAGGTGTATAGCAAGATTGGGAAATTTTTTTAGAGATTAGGATGAAAGAAATATTTTGACTGTGTTAAACATGTGTGTATAGTATGATATATATAGAGACAATGATACAGAAACCCTAGCCGTCAACTATGGAAACCCTAATTCGGTTTTCCTAAATTACATATTCTATCATCCCCTCCCCCCCTCCCCCCCGGCAATCGTAGCAGGATTAGAAATTATGCCTAGATTGGTTCTAAACAAATAAAGTTTATCTTTTGGTAAGGACTTTGTGAAGACATCAGTAAGCTGAGATTGAGTCGAGATATGTAAGACAGCGAGAAGACCAGCAGCAACACGATCACGAACAAAATGAATATCCAACTCAATATGTTTAGTTCTGGCATGATTGACAGGATTGGCCGCCAAGTAGGTAGCAGAGACATTATCACATAAGATGACAGAAGATCTGGGAAGCTTAATGTGAAGCTCAGAAAGAAGGTGTTCCAACCAAACAGTTTCAGATAAAGCAGTTGCAACAACACGATATTCAGACTCAGTAGAGGATCTCGAAACAGTGGACTGCTTTTTAGAAGACCAAGAGACCAAAGACGAACTCAAAAACACACAGAAGCCAATAGTTGAACGTCGGGTTGTAGGGCATCCAGCCCAATCAACATCAGAATATGTGATAATACGATCAAGGGAGCCAACACGAAGATAAAGACCATAGTGTAAGGTACCCTTAATGTAGCGTAAAATACGCTTGACGGCCTGATAATGTTGCTCTCGAGGATCGTGCATATGCTGACAGACAAGATTAACTGCATACTGTATGTCAGGGCGAGTGAAAGTGAGATATTGGAGGGCTCCCACCAAGCTCCGATAAAGAGTAGGATTATGAAAAGAGGGTGACTCATCAACAGAGAATTGAAAAGACGGAGCAAGTGGTGTGGCAACAGAGTTAGCATCAGTAAGTTGACTGCGCGATAATAACTCCTCAGCATACTTACGTTGATGTAAGAACCAACCAGTAGAATGTGGAGAGACGGAGACACCAAGGAAGTAGCTAATCGGACCAAGATCAGTCATAGCAAAAGCTCTCTTCATGGATTGAATAAGAGTGTTAAGAAGCCGATCACTCGAAGCTGTGAGGAGAATGTCATCAATATAAAGGAGCAAGATAGCCATGTTAGAGCCGACAGAATAAATGAACATAGAGGAGTCCAAGTGACTAGATTTAAAACCCTGTGTAAACAAAAAAGTGGTAAAACGGTGAAACCAAGCTCGAGGGGCCTGCTTTAAGCCATAGAGGGCTTTGTTCAATCGACAGACATAATGAGGATGGTCAGGATGAACAAAGCCAGTGGACTGTTTTATGTAGACAATTTCATTAAGATGACCATGCAAAAATACATTTTTAACGTCCAATTGATGAATAGGCCATTTTCGAGAGGCAGCAATACTTAAGACAGTCCTAATTGTCACAGTTTTAACCACAGGACTAAACGTTTGATCATAGTCAATGCTGGATTTCTGATTGTAACCCTGAGCGACCAAACGTGCTTTACATCGATCTAGAGAACAATCAGATTTAAGTTTCACTTGAAATATCCATTTGGAACCAATCACATTAGCAGAAGCAGGTGGAGGGACTAGGTCCCATGTGTTATTTGAAAGAAGGGCATTGTATTCATCACTCATGGCAGCACACCATTCTGGGTGTTTGTGAGCTTCAGTAAAAGATTTTGGTTCAGGTGGAAGAGAAGGAGAAGATGTAATGGCAGTGAGGGAAAGGATGGCTTTTGGTTTACGAGTCCCATCCCGAGTGCGAGTGACCATAGGATGAGGTGGAAGGATTGTGGAAAGGGGTTGTGAAACAGGATTTTCGCAAGGAGAAGATGGTATGGTTGGAGGCACAAATGAACCTAAAGGTGGAGCTTGATTTGAAGAGGAAGTGACTAAAGGTGGAAATGGCCAAGGAATATGAAAGGAGGGATGTTTGAATGGGGAGGTAGATTTTTGTAGAGGTTGAGTGGAAGATGAAAGTGTGGGATAGGGAAAGGAAGTTTCATCAAAGGTAACATGACGAGAGATATAGATTTGCGAGAGATAGGATCATAGCACCGGTTTCAGTAAAAGATTTTTGTATGTAAAACAAAGCATTTTTGTATATATTATTATATACTTCATAAAACTTGAAAGTTTAGCACAATAATATGTACACTCAGCACTCAACTTTATAATATGATGTACATCCTCAAGTTACGTCCCCTAAAATATTCTGAGATTACAGTCTGCTTTGTAATCAAAAAGTTGTAGCTTATTCTTCTAACTTCTTCCCAAACAATCTCAACGTCTGAACTTCAAATATCAAGTTATCGCTTTCAAGAAATGATTGATTCCTACTGAATTTGTGCAATACGCTAGATCATATTGAAGTACTAAACTCAACTTCTGAGCTTCAAACATTATTGCATTTTTAACTAGGAAATGGTGAATTGTGATGGGTGGTAGGAAGACTTTGAAGTCTTGAACAACAATGACGTTTGGCTTTTAACCTTGAAATGAACAGCAATAATGTTTTGTTTCGTACAGTCACGAGGGTACGCAAAATGCAAGTACAATAATTGAGAACTTTTTAGTCTGAGGTCCAAGAGTGTGTAGTATAGACTAGTTGTAAGTTTAGGTTTTTTGAATTTTCTTCATAGTTATAACAAAATAACATAAATAATAAATATGCAATTGATGAACGAAACTTTAAAATATAGGTAGGCACCCAATATTATTATTGGTTCCAAGTTATGGATGGACAAGGAGTTTTTTTTTTTAATAAAACAACGGACTAACTACATACTCTAGTGTATCCAAGTTCAACAAACTACATTGTATCATCTCTTTTTGAAACGAAAAAAAAAAATTAAAAGTAACAAATTTACTTCATTAGGAGTAGGCATTGAATACATAATAGTGCAAGTACTAGCACTATACTACATATGAATTCAACAGAACAAAATAGTACTAGCTCCAAAAAAATAGCCTAGCTAGGTACCTCCAAGGAGTAATTGTCACTGTATCTACTTTGTAACCATGCTGAAAAATTACTTTGAGTTCATCACGAATTAGTAGGTTTAAGAGGTTTGTTGAGAAAAATTCGTCATTATTGTTTCTAAAAGCTAGTTTATATGTTATTTGCTATGTGTTTCGAATTCTTATTTATTCAGTTGGAGGATGGAGAGCAGCACTCATAATGGCTACCGACTCCTGTCGAACTTTCATCGACAAGAATGGACTAATTGTTCATCGTGTTGATGTTGATAAAGGTTTCTGCCTGAACCAGCACACAATTATCATGTGTGCTAGTGATGCCAAGCAATCCGAAAGACTATAAGAAGAACATCGATTAGAACAGGTTGAGAAGAAGCTCTCTCTTACTCCATCTATGGTGACCAAATTCTCTTTGAAGAGGATGTTAACTTACAAAAATGAAATTGATGAAGTAAACCTCGAAGTTCTTATCGAAGGATACGAAGAGGAAGGACCCGTATTGTATAAGATCACACCACCCGGGATTTTGGAGGTCGGGCAATCCTTTTATATCGGGAGTGATAGTTCATATGCAGCGTGCATGATGGAGATTTGCTTGAAGAAAAAGGGAAAAGGTCATCCAATTGCCGAAGTTGTGGAGAGTGCAAGAAATGCAATTCATTTTGCGGCAAAAAAGGATATTTTCACCACCGTCTATCATCTATCTAAAGACGGAATTGTGATTCCCTATATGCGAGAAGATATATAACTGATGACCAAATGAGATTAGTTCATTTGAAAGGAAGGTGATTTTTTGGGTCTCGTTTTTATTGAATGGTTATGCCTGATATGGTGTGAATATTTTAACTAAAAGGCAGAAGTTAACATAATATGGTACTTGCTATGTAAAAGCCTAAAAGTAGTATGAATAACATCATCTTTCTAAAACGAATCTCACCAAGACTGAAACTAGAATTGTCAAAAATATATGATGGATGAGTAGTTAGTTCTAACTTCATTCCATTATAAAGTAAATAAAGTCCACCAATAATCTTATTTATTGTTGTTGTAGAAGGAAATAATACTCCCTCCATCCCAAAATTATAGTCCAGTTTGAATTTTTATTTTTAGTTCAAATTGTACTAAAAGTTTAAATACATTCTAGGCAATAATTTTGGGATGAAGGGGGTATTATTTGAAATGAAGGGAGGGAGTATTATTTGAAGTAGTACTCGTTCCTAAATAAATTCAGACCCCATTTGAAAATTAATTTTTTAATAATTAAGAAAACATAAAGAATGTAAAAATGTGTTTTTAAAGTTTTTTCTTAAATTAAAAATAGATACTAGGTTAATAACTTATCTTAAGGACAAGAGGGAGTATCACAGTATTAAGTCAAAATTCCTTGGAGAGTAATTAATCAAGTACCACGATATATGTAGTAAACATAGGTTGTAATTAATCAAGTATCACACTAAGTAGTAAATACCACAGTTGCATAATGCATCCAATGCTATGGGGTTTTCAACATTCACATACAAAGTGTGTCATTCCTTCCCCTAGATCATACCTAATTGATACGGAGAGTTGTTGAGTTGAATAAATATCCCCCAAGGTCATGGCTTCATATTGCAAACTACTATATAACTTCCTAATTAATGTCTCAGCTGATATGGAAGCACTTTCAAGTTTCAGCCAATGGATGTAAATTAAAAAATTTTCATTCATCTTTGAAATGTTTTCACGTCTTTATTTTATTTTTTAGTGCAATTAATATACAATGTCGCCAGTTTCTAACAACAACACAACAAAACAAAATCAAGCATTCCAATGTTAAGCTAGTCCCAATTATAAGCATGTATGTGAACATGATTTTGCTCTAAAGCCCGTTGACTCGCCACCAACGGGATTTTACATTCGTCGTAGGGGAATAGCCGCTCACAACATGAAATGAAAGAAGCCGTTTGAAGTGACTAGTAGTGCTGCTTGTTTGCATCTTTGTACTAGAGGATTTCACTTGTGTATTACTTCTAGATAGCTAGCTACCAACTTACTTGAAAGTCGAAACATATTATATTTCTTTAAACAAGAATAGGTGGCTGAGTTCAAGCTGGCGTTTTATGGAGACAAACTTTGTTACTCACTATCTAGTTTCATTAGCACAAACATAAGGCTTGAGAAATTGCATTAGCTAGAAATTTTATCATCGACGATTAAACCGTGATTAGACCAAGGTTTGATAAGAGTTATATATCCTTGCAATGCATTGATTTAAAGATTTAAACTTTTCTATTGAAAAGAAAAACAAATATAATTATATCCCATTCTTGGGGAGTATCTCTCTGTTTTTCTGGCTGCCTGACTGGTCTCTTTCAACAGCTTCCTAGCATTGGATGCTCCTGCTCTTTCAATGGCCTTTGTACGTACCTTCTAAAATTGAAATGGGAGGGCACTACTGCAGTCTATAGTGCCTTATCTGGTAGAAAGATGTAAAACAAAAGCCAATACACAGTGCATAGTACTAAAGTACCACCGTTGCATAATGCGTGCAGAATCAAGTGCCACAATAATAAGGCCTATTAGTTCCGGTCCTTGCGTTGTTTGTAGTCGTTAATAATACTCTCTCCGTAAAATTTCGGGAAGGCGGGGTATTATTTAAGATTGATGGAGACAGTATTATTTGGAAAAACTACTCGTTTGAAAGAAACAACTCAAACAATGATTTTTCCCGGCAAATGAGTTCAGACCACATTTGGAAATTAATTTTTATCTACCTCACTTATTCACTTGAGCCCAAGGTTTCTATAAAACCGCCACTCTGTTTCTTGTGATCTCTCACTCATTAACTCACAGAAACCCACCTTTGGTACAATTTTGCTCTGTTTTTTTCTTGTGATCTCTCTCACTCAATAACTCACAGAAACCCGTTTCCCCTATATTTGCGTATTGTCTTTAATAAATTGTCGCCAGGAAAAAAGTCTTTCCGAAAGCAATCCTCCTGTGTGCATCATCCTCTCGCTCCGCTTGTGATTCACAACTCTCACCGCCTCCCGCTTGTGATGAAACGCATCTTCTTTGTGTGAGAAAAAAAGAATCGTCTCTAAATTACTTAAATTTGTAGTTATTTTTACGTTCGAATCAATCAAGTATTAAAACTATTCTGAAAACAAAAAATTCATACATAGTTCATATCATCTCCACGGACTTAAAAATAAGTATTAATAGTTCATATTTTACTAAATATTATTGTAATTATTATTATTTTTTGTTTTTAGGGTATTTATTAATTTATGGTATTGTTGGGACATATAAATCCATAAGAGATTTTTTCAGAAACATTATTATCTTATCATTTTATCAAAATTTTTCTTCACTACTGGTCCTAGGTTGGGACATGAAAAAATTATTAATTTTTAGAAGTTATTAATTTATAAATTATTAATTACCGACGTTCTACTGTAGGTAAGTTACATTAATAAATAAGAAAAGCAAGCTCATATTCTTTGAACGCAATTAATTAAAAGTGCATTATATTACTGTCATGTACATTTTTTAGCTTAATTACAGGTTGTCATTGTCGTCTTTAGTCAAGACAACCAATTGACAGTCAGCCATGTTTTTTCAATCTCATTTAATCAGCAATACATATTTTCTTAAAAAAGCAACTAGCTTCTTTTTTCTCGTTTTTTAATATGGAATGATTCCATTTGCATTTCTTTATTTATTTTTATTTTTTCTCACGCAACTTGGTAAGCGATGAGGTTAATAGATAAATGTATATAAATAGAGGATGGCCCTTTTGCTAGTATCATCAGTTCTACAGATCTTTTTCTCAGTGTGGCTGGAGGAGACACACACAAACACACACACACAGAAACATTTTTTTTGAACGCGCACACAGGATCATGATTTCCAGTAAGATGATGTTTCTAATTCTATTCTTCCCGCTTTCTGTTACATATATTACCTTAATTCTCATATATTATATTATCATATATTATATTACCTTATTCAGCAATGTATATTACAAATAAACTCACGGATTTGATGCACAATCGGATTCTGTCTTCAAAAATACCGTCGATGAGAGTTTCTAATGCAAAATTGCTGCAGGGGTAAAATTTGGGTTTTTTAATTTTTTAGTTTGAGACGTTTTTGGATTGAATGGAATAGAAAGTTGGGTATTGTTAATATGGCTAAAAATGAAATAGACGTTTTTGAAATATTTTTTTTTAAAACTTCTTTTTGTTGGGCGCGTGTTTTACAACTTAGGTACACCTAGGCGTTCTATATTATAATTGTGTGTACATATATCATTAATTTTCAGACATGATTATAGTAATATTAGTACATAATCAATCGTCAGCAATAAATGAAGCAGTCAGAAAACACCTACTTCAATTTTCTTATGTTTTTGTATGTCATTACACGCCGAGTTTCCACATAGTTTAATGGAAATATGCAACTTAATTTTCGTGCACAATGCTGACTGAAACAAGTTGATATTTCAAGGAATCTAAAGCATCAGCAATGCTATTATACCTTGCCGTAGAAACTGTGGCCTCGAATTCCTTTTTGTGTCAATTTTTGAGAATCACCACTTCACTCATGATTTCCTTTAATGGTATTTACATATCTCGCCATACATTGTGATCACTATCTTATGTATAATTTTTTTTAAAAAAAAAAATTCAACATACAGTAAAGCATGTTGGCCCACTTTTTCTGCAAAAAGTTAAGTAACTTAAAAAAACATGTATGCTTTCATGTTACGCTTTAAGAGGTGAGCTGTTTTAATTTCTGGGTAACTACAAATATTCAGGCCAATTACCCGGCATTGTGGTTGAGGGAGAAAATATATACTCCAGTTAAACACTGTAATGTGGTAGTAGTATGTAGCAAATGTTTCGAACTCCTACAATGCAAAAGATTCTTTGCCTAGCCGCAAAATCTGCACTCACGTCACGAGCAATAATCATGGCGGCACCAACGTCCAAGCAGATAATTCCCAAGTTTTATCAACGTACAAAAATTTCAAAATCCATGTCTTAAGAACAAGTTGGTCAATCTTAAGCTTCGATACTTGTTTTTGTTTCTTGGAAAGTAGGTCTTACTTCTCAAAAACATAAATAACATAGGTTTTCTTCTTTTCATTTTTTTTTTTTTCCTGTAACTGCTTTCAAAAATCACGTTGGAGATGTAAAAACAAAGAAAGTCTTTGATTTGGAAGATTCAACCTTAACAACACCCACATTAGTATAAGACCTCCAAAGATCCGAAAAAGCCGCCGATCTACTCAAAAGTTTATATACGTTGTTAATGTTACTCGATTCCTTTTTAGTTAGACAATATCATCCTAATTTATCCAAACGTTAACTAATTTTGTTCAATTTGCTCAATTTTCGTTTAACTTAACGGAATTTTGTTTGGTTTAATTGTAAAAATACCCTGATAGTTTTAAAAATTAAAAAATGACTCCAAAAATTTATAAAAATAACAAATAGTCTATTTTCACTTCTTATTTAATTTTTTCTGTTTTCTATTTCTTTTTAATATTTTTTCATAACTATAAAAATATACTATATGATCTTTTATAGAAACCATTTATTTTTAAACTTTATTGTATAAATTTATAGTTATATATTTGTAACTCATCGTTGATTTACATAAATATATTAATTTTTTTTAATAAGATGGTTTAACAGTAATAATACTATTTTTTTAAAATCCCTCTCCGAGTTAGAATGTAAGCATTAATCTTATATCTACTTTCAGAACCTCAATACCTTAAACACTACATTGTTATTCAATTCTCACTATAATAGGAAGTTTTATAACTTTATTTTAAAATAAATAAATGAAGGCAATAATATGGTGATAAGTTATTGCGATAGAGGATAGTTGTTGGATTGGGGAAGAAAAAGTTATGTTTGGAGAATTTTTTTAAGCTTTTAATTATTTTTTTGTAGTTTTGCGTAATTATTTTTTTTGAATTATATTAGTACAATTTATAGTCTATTGAATTAAATTGTACTCCCTCGATCCCAAAAAAATAATTAAACTAAAATTTAATACAATTTATGTAATTAAACTATAGAAATAGGCTATAGATTTTCATAAGAATAAGAATATTTAACTTTATTATTCAGTTTTTTTTAAAAAAATTATAATAAGCTAAAATGTACCGATAAATTATTTTATATCTAAGCTAAACATTTTAATTTTTTGTGAAAATTAGTTTTAGTTAAATATTTTTATTCTTTAGATTAGGAAAAAATAGATTAAAAAATAGTATCATTACTGTTCAATCATAATATTAAAAAAATTAATATGTTTATGTAAATCAAGCATGAATCACAATTATGTGACTATAAATTTGTACAGTAGAGTTTAAAAATAAATAGTTACTTTAAAAGATTATATAGTATATTTATAGTTATGAAAAACAGTATAAAGAAATAAAAATTAGAAAAAATTAAATAAAAAGTGAAAAGAGATTGTTTTATTATTTTTACAAATTTTTGGAGTTATTTTTGTAATTTTTTAAACTATTAGGGTGTTTTTGTAATTAAAACTAATAAAATTTCGTTAAGTTAAACGGAAATTGGAGAAATTGGACAAAATCGACTAACGTTTAGATAGGTTTGGGTAATATTGACTAATCTAAAAAGAATAAGATAACAGTAACAATGCATATAAAGTTTTGAATAGACCGGCAAATTAATTTTTCTTCCAAAGATCTAACAACCAATTTCTAATATAAAAAAAAATAAAAAATAAAAAATAAAAAATTGAATGATTTGACCAATACCCGGCAACTAGCACCCTCTTTCTTCTTTGTTTTTTTAAATCCCATGTGGGGCTGTTTCCTCTTTGTCATGCTAATGATTCTGGTTCTTTAATCCTTTTTTTTTTTTTTTTCCCGAAATCGTTTGTTTAATCTCAAAGTCGAAACAGTCTGACCTGGAACTGACTGTAAATGCTAACCAAACCCGTTGATTTCTCCTTCTTCTTCTTTATTTACCAATAACTTATCTGTCGTTTTTCTTGGTTTATATCTTTCTTTGTCTGATCTGGAGTTTGTCCTGAGCCCATTGCCTCCTTCTATCAAATAATCACGATGTAGACATGAAGATGGTACTTCGCTGAAACAAGCTCAAAAATCAAAATGCTGCATAACTTATGAGTTTTTGTACGTTTTTCGTATGATATTATATCTTATGAATTATACTACGCAATTTGCAATAAGACTGAATAAAACCATTTGAGATTCGGGAATCAAGGCAACTGACGGGTTTGCCGAGATCCGCAAAAATTAAACTGAATTCCAAGCATTGTCGCACTTGAGAGTTAAGATTTCCTTCATGCATCATTCAACTTCATTTTGTCTGTTCATTTCCCAGGATTCCCAAGTAGTAGTAACAATAATTGAAGATCCAGGCATGCCTATTAGCAGTACCATCATTACAAAGTACTGACTAGGGGAGAGAGGACTTCTGGTTATGTTAGTGACTTAGTACTAGACTACTAGTAGTGTGTGATTGTGTGTGTCCGATTCCAATAAATTAATTTGATTTTAAGACTCTGTCTTTCTTTGTCTCTCAACAATGTACTGAATGTAGTTTCATCAACTAATTAAATAAAAAATGATGCATGATTCTCACTTGGATTCATTAGACCATATCACATCCATTATCGAAAACCAATGGCTTTCCGAGTAGTAAGTAACTGCAAGCCTTGTGAACCGCTGTCATATCATTAGTCATAATCTATCAGGCAAGGATCAAAATGCATTTCTAGTCAATTAAATTAAATGTACTTATACTATTACTGCCATGAGATTAATAGATTATGTATGTAAATAGAAGATGACCCTTTTGATAGTATTATCAATTCTATAGATCTTTTTCTCAGTCTGGCTGGAGAAGACACACACACACACAGAGAAACATGATTTCCAGTAAGATGATGTTTCTAATTCTATTCTTGCTGCGTTCTGTTCCATGGGCAAATTGTAGTCCACTTCATGAAGAATTTATTCAGTGCATGTCTGACAATGTTACAACCCATGATCCATTTTCTAAAATCCTTCACCTTCCGAATTCTCAATCATACGAAAATCTACTTGAAAATGCACAAGAAAATCTAAGATTGTACAATAATTCTTTGAAACCTCTGTTCATAATCACACCATACCATGACTCTGAAATCAGGGCCACCATTTTATGCAGCAAACAGAAGGGATTGCAAATCAGAATCAAAAGTGGAGGTCATGATTATGAAGGCCTTTCGTACCGCTGCCAAACTCCATTCGTTATCATTGATCTTGTCTATTATAAGGCGATTTCGATCGATTTGGAACAGGAAACGGCTTGGGTTCAGTCAGGGGCTACCCTCGGGGAACTTTATGTTGACATATCCCGGAAGAGTGATGTTCATGGATTTCCAGCTGGAATATGTCCTGGCGTTGGAATTGGTGGGCATTTCAGCGGCGGAGGGATGGGTACGATGATGCGAAAATACGGGCTCGCGGCCGATAATGTTGTTGATGCTGTGATTGTGAATGCTGATGGGCTGACTCTTGACAGGAGAGGAATGGGGGAAGATTTGTTCTGGGCTATTAGAGGAGGTGGAGGAGCTAGTTTTGGTGTCATTCTCTCCTGGAAAATCAAGTTAGTTCGTGTTCCCCAAATTGTCACAGTTTTCAATCTACGAAAGCAGATGGATCGAGAAGGGACTAAGCTAGTGTACAAATGGCAGCAAATTGCTCCTAATCTACCTCCTGAATTGTTCATAAGAATTCTGATTCAACTAGAAAGTAACATTGTTGTGGGTGATTTCAATTCCCTGTTTTTGGGATCAACAGAGGGCCTGATTTCCTTGATGAAACAGAGGTTCCCTGAACTGGGATTGCGCCCGGAAGATTGTACTGAAATGAGCTGGATTCAATCTGCGGCATTCTTTGCAGGATTCCCTAACCAGGTGGAGGCTCTACTCAACAGATCTGACCCATTCAAGGCCAAGTTGAAAGGAAAGTCCGATTTCGTCACCGAACCAATTCCTGAGAGTGCACTGATGCAGATATGGAAAAGGCACCCAGAAGGAGAACTATTACCTTTCATGATGTTGGATCCTTATGGAGGCAACATGGGTGAAATCCCGGATTCGGAAACCCCCTTTCCTCACAGGAAAGGGAATTTGTACAACATTCTCTACGCGGTGGCGTGGAATGATGATGATGACGCTGGGCATTTAAAGTGGATCAATGAACTCTACATGTTCATGGAGCCATATGTGTCCAAATCCCCAAGGCGTGCATATCTAAATTACAGAGATTTGGACTTGGGAATCAATCCGGGAGTGAATCCAAGGTTTTCAGATAGCGCAGTTTGGGGGATGAAATATTTCAATGCTAATTTTGAGAGATTGGCTAAGGTGAAAAGCCTTGTTGATCCTAACAATTTCTTCTGGAGCGAACAGAGTATTCCACCCATTGTTAATGATGGGCCGTTTTTTGCTTAAAAACACGGACAGAAGTGGTTTGTTGGAGTGTTGTTTTTTAATTTAGCAAAATTAGAGAGGTCAAAGTATAATTGTTAATTTTAAGGCCGAGTTTACAGCTCAGCTCTAGTATAAGTTCTTCTTGTTCCGAGTAAAACTTATGAATGAAAATTGAAAATGAATGGTTTCTAAATTCTTTTTCTCTTTCTAATTTCCCTTCTTCTTCAATTCATTTCTCTTCCTCTCCATGGGTTCTAACTCTTGCTCTATAAATCTGAAATCTTCCCCTAAATTCTAATTCTCCACTCTTCAACTAAGAGTAAATACACTAAAATTGAGAGATCAAATTTCGTGCATCTACAATATGGTGAAATTACCAGTAATTTTTAAATAAACTTTATAGTTTCTTGTAAAGATTTATAGTAATCCATTTGGAAAAATCACTATATTAAAAAAAAATGATCATTTTAAAACATTCAACGCACCCACAATGAACTTTATTTCTGGCTCCGCCACAACTAATTAGCTGATTTACCTTAAACCAATTAGTAAGAAATTAGGATTAATCCCATGACCAGTGTTCAATGATGATTGATGAAGCACCTGCAGTCTGAAAAGAAAAAAAAAAACGTCCTCTGATGTTTTTGTATGATTCAATTTTTTTATTTTTTTTTTTTTGGCCGATTTGCCGATTTTTTATATATGAAAATGTGAATAGAAATACTGAATGAAACAAGTTCAGATATTGATGAATATCAAGGGAGAAAAGAATGCTGCTCCCGTGAAAGCCTTTTGAGGTTTTCATTTCGTGAAAATGCAAGAGATTCTTTGGCAAGCAGCTGTAGTAATTAAGATAATGTATACTCAAATTACCGGCAAAATATATACTTTATAACGGGTGCCCTAAGTCAAAAGAAGCAAGAAGAACGGATACAACGTATCACTCTATTAAAAACAAAAAAACACACACACAAATTCAATATCCACGTCTAATGAACAAGTTGGTGTAAGTTTATGCATATTTAATTCGGGTGGTTTAAAATCTAAAAGTCAACCCGTCTGATGATCCGTAACCCACTTGTTCTTCTTTTTTCTTTTTCTTCTAAACTTAGTACACCAAAATTAATCTTTCTTTAATCTGAAGAAGTCAGAAGTCTGTATTGGCATCCTGCTGTGATTCACATGCATTGCTGCTGATCATTGTTATTTTTTAATTTGTGCCATTTTCTTATTAACATTATTCCAATCCCTCTATCTCTTGCTTTCTGCTGCTTATATAATACTCTCTCAGTCCCACAAAAATAATTTATTTTAATGGGACGGAGGTAGTAATTCTGTGACTAATTTTGCAATATCTTCCATCATCATTCCCCTGCCTTCTTCTTTTTTTTTTTTTTTTTGGCATTATTCGGATACAAATTACTGTTTTAACAGTTTTTGTCATCCAAACAACAACAAAAACCCATGGATTCTGCTTCCATTGGTTCTGCCTTACATGATTTAATCTTGTATCTGAACGAATTGTATCGTTATGATCCCTTCCCTACGCGTTTGAAGATTGAATTAAAGAAGCTCCAGATTTTCGTTCTTATTTCCACAAGAAATTTGGACAACCAGCAGCTGGATGACTCAAATCCACCATGGTCTTTCGTGCTAAGGATTGTAGATACTATTGATCAATATGTTGATCCTGATCCCTCCGAATCAGCTGGTTATCATCTTCTATTTAAAAGGTTCGAACGCGGCATCGAATCCTTGGTTGATGAAATAGATCAATGGTACTTTTCTATGAGGGATTCATTGCTGTTACAATTCAGGGCTTCTCTGTTTACCATTGATGACATCTCCGAAATCTTCACTTCCATTTTGGAGCTTCTTGAGGAAAACTATTGCGTTAGAGGAAGCAAAGCTTTGATTGAGCTGGTGAAAGTCTGGCAAACTCTCATCTGCTTTGTTCACTATCCCATACCACAACTGTTGGCTCTCGCTGCAAATGTCGCGATCCATGTACATCTTCATTTCATGTGTCCTCGAGCAGTTCAGCGGCCTGGTGAAGAATCTCTTGATAAATTATTGTCTACATTCAAGCCGAATGATCCACTGGTTTCGGAGACTTACATCCAAGCCCTAATCAGTTCAAAGTTGTCAAGAGGGTCACTTGCTGCTCTCAGTACTAATCAGCACAATATTTATGATGGCACCAAGAATTTCCTTGATTTTTTGGTAGATCATCTTTGGGAATGGCTACGACTTAATACTACTGATGGTACGGTTTCTGTGAAGGATCAGATGCAGGAGCTGTTTCACAAACTTAGATCTTTGCGAGCCACTCTCAAGCAGAAGCAGCCTAACAACATTAAGGCCGACGTTGCATCTGTGTTGTGTGATGCCGGGGTCTTAATTTTCTCATTGTCCCAAACTGATAAAAAAGTAGATCTTGTATGTTTCCATGATTTGTTGAAAACATTCAAGGCTATTCTGCTGCAACTTGGAGAGAAGGATCCACCAGTACCAGACTTCAACTTTCCAAAGACTAATCAGTTGGGTTACGTCGATTTTGTGCTGGAGAAACTGGCGGACCTGACAAGTCGTGAAGCTAAACCGATTCCCAACAATAACTATGTTCAAACTGTCCATGAAGAGCTTGTCTCTCTGAGATCTTTCTTAGGAGACATTGCTGAGTTCTACCAAGAACACGAGGAATTTCAAGTTCTATGGAATCGTGTTTTGGAGGTGACGTGCAAGGTGGAGTGTCTCATCGATCAGTTACTGGTTGTTGATCTTTGGGATTGTTCTTCAACTTCGGTTGATGCCATCCTGGAAGACATCAGGGACATTAAGGCCAAATCCGAAGTTAAGAAACAAGAAATTGGAGGCAAAAGACAGCAAAAGAAAGTGAGAGAAGCAACCAGGACTCACGATCAATTGCCATCACAAACAACGACAAAATATGAGGTTGTCGGTTTTGTGGATGATGCGAAACGAATCATGGATCGACTCAAAAGAGGATCAAAGGAACTGAAAGTCATTTCCATTGTTGGTATGCCAGGACTAGGTAAGACCACTTTAGCCTCAAAAGTCTACAATGATGACTCTTTTTCACTTCATTTTCACGTCCATGCCTGGTGTCCTGTCTCACAAGCATTGGACAAAAAGAATGTACTGTCTAAACTTTTGAAACAGGTTGATCCCAACTGTGTATACTCTGAGACCAATGAGCAAGATCTAGTAGAAAAGCTGTGGCGCAAATTGAAAGGGAAAAGATATCTCATATTATTGGATGATATATGGGACGCTGAAGCATGGAATAGCTTGGCACCAGCATTCCCTGATGACAACTATGGAAGCAGAATTCTGTTGACGAGTCGTCATCGTGACATTGCTCCTGTTCATATGATTGACCAAGATCCTTATTTTCTTCACCCGCTCAATGAAAAGGAGAGTTTGGAATTATTCCAGCTGAAGTTATTCTCAGGAAATCTTGGTTTGGATCCTGCATTACATGATCTGGTGAGTAAATTTGCTGCACAATGTAAGGGTTTACCACTGTCCATCATTCTCATAGCTGGAATTTTGGCAACTACGAATCCAGAAGATTGGTCGAAAATTTGGGAAGATTTCAACTCAGGGAATGCATCCGTTACAGAACAGTGCATGGACTCGTTGGAACTCAGCTACAAATGTCTACCTGATCACTTGAAGCCATGCCTGCTCTATTTTGGAGTATTTCCAGAAGATGCAGAGATTCCAACCAAGAAGTTGCTCTACATATGGATTGCTGAAGGCTTTATAAGGGAAACTGATGGAAAGCGCATAAAAGATGTTGCTGAAGATTATTTGAATGTTTTGATTGGAAGAAGCTTAATTATGGTTTCTCAAAAAAGATGGAACGGTGGAGTCAGAACATGCCGCATTCATGACTTGCTTCGTGATTATTGCTTGCAGAAATCCAAAGGTGATCATTTTTTCCATGTCATAAAGGGATATGATGAGATTTCGGCATTTAACGAGCCGTGCAATCTTCGGAGGTTATGCATCCAATTGGACGAGTGGAACCATTTCGAACCTAAGTTGTTTTGTCCGCGTGCCCGTTCTCTGCTTTTCCAAGTCCCTCGCGGGTTATATTATCCATCAGGGGATGCCTCATTTGTGATCAGCATCTGTAAACTTCTAAGAGTGTTGGATCTGGAGAAAATTAAGTTGAGTTGTGAGTTTCCATGTGAAATAAGCTCGCTGGTTCAGTTGGCATTCCTGGCACTTCGGGGTAAATTCAGACACATCCCGTCATCCATAAGTAAGCTCTCAAATTTGGAAACTCTTATTGTGGATCCAAGCGGATATGTGATGCCATTGCCTAATAGTTTCTGGAATCTACAGAACTTAAAGTATGTTTACATAAGAAGAGGCGGGCTTAGGATAGTGCCGATGGAAAATCTAGACAACTCGCCCGTTTTATATGAGTTGGATGTGTTTTGTGGTGCATGTATTCCATATGAATGCAGCTTGGAAAGGCTAATGACAAAATTTCCAAACATCCGTATGTTGAAATGCAAGATTGGCTTTGGTGAAGATGAGAGATTAGAGTATCCTCACACCGCGATTGTTGTTCCTGACTTTTCGACGCAACTTGAATCAGTTGATTTATCATGGGTCGCTGGTGAACCCAAGCTTCCGAAAGGTCTCGACATCAGTTTCCCTGAAAATCTGAAGAGACTGAGGTTGGAAAACTTTTATCTGTCGTGGGAGAATATGTCAACCATTGGTAAGCTCCCAAACCTTCAAGTCTTCAAGCTATGTTGCCCGAGATTTGAAGGTGATACATGGGAAATGGAACCAGGGGAATTCTCCCAACTCAGAGTTTTGGATTTGTACCGTGTGAAGCTTGTCAGGTGGATTTCGGAAGATGATCAATTTGATTGTCTTCAGAAGTTGTTGTTGGAAGACTGTGAGTATTTGCGAGAGATGCCTTGTAATTGTCTGGAGAGCATCTCGACACTTGAAAAAATTGAGGTAGTTCATTGTTCTGAGACTACAGAAAAATTGGCGAAACAAATTGAGGATCAACAGGTGAATGAGTGGGGGAATTCAAATCTTAAGATCAACATTGTGACGAAAGATTAGAATTTTAATTTTTTAAGACTTTCTTCGTTATTTTGTATTAGTTTGATTAGACATTAGAATTCATTTGATGTTATTTTCCTTCTAAGGGAGGGCGAACCCGCCTCATTGTACTTTGGCTCTTGTTTTATGAATTTAAACACAACTTATGTATAAACGCGAACAAAAGAAGAAGAAGTTGTAGTTAAAAGGGTTGAATTGAAATATACATCGCCAAACAAATTTTGTAGCAGATTTCCTAATCTTGTTTGTTAACTGTATCGAATCCTGGAGGCTTGTTGGTGTTAGATGAGCCCCTGGAATTAAACAATGGCTAGAACACGACATTGTTGGTATTTTCTACCGTTCCTATAATCTTTTAGGCGAGTGTCTCCTTTTATTTGTTAAAAAAGAAAAAGAGGAAATTAAGGGCGGATGGACATCCATCCAGTTATAGGTTTGGAGGAAACCGTTTCCATGATTGTAGCCATACATGGTATCTTCCTGGTGTTCTCGATACTTGGAATGAATTTCTTTATGCATCCCTTTTCACAAACTAGCTAGTACATTTAATGATGAATATATAAATTCCTCAATTTTTTTCGAGGCCATCCTGCCTTTTCTAATTTGTTGTGACGGTGAAGCCATATTATCGGTGCTAACTATGCAAATGCAAATGATTTATCTCATTTTTAGTTTGTTTATACATCTCTTTCGACCGGGAATAATAGTCCATATCGTTTATATGGTTTTATTGAAATGTATACTCCTATAATAGGTCGACAGTTCTAAAAGAAACCAAGTCTACATGTGAAATCAGACCATCAGAGATCAACTTTCTTTTGTTAGGGTGCTAGCTGAAGTTGACACACACACACACACACACACACAAATTAAGGACAAAAGTACAAAACTACTAAAATGGAAATGTGGTTCTGCTCACGTTGTTCCACCAACCCAATTAATACGTAAATCCCATAACTAGGAGTAGTTTTTAAAACATTAGTACACGGTTTTTTGTGATACTAAAACAGCTTTGTTTTTTATTACTTTGGCGACTGGAACGTAGTTAGAAAGACGTCACAAATGTCCGAATCACTTGCGAGTTCTCTCCCACGTCGATCTATAACAAAATGGGGGAGTTTCCAATACATTTCAGCCTCACGATCATCCTCATTTTACATATCATGGACGCCAAGTGATCAAATTCTCAACAGATTCAAAGGGGAAAAAAAAATAAAATTGGTTGAAAATTTACAAATCACCCGTTTCCTACAAATTTCAACAACGTTGTCATCAGATTAAACAGTCAACAAATCCCAGGTTTCTTTCCTCTCAAGGGTGGGAGTCCCCCCTCTCCCTAGCTCTTCCCCTCTTTTCTTTCATTTCCTCCCTCGAAACTCATCCAAAAAGTAGTTAAACACATCATCACCATCATACATCTTCAAGCTCTTTTAGGGTTTTTGTGCATTGCATTTGATCATCGATTCATCGTTGCGAAAAATGGTTCGGCCGAGTAATGTGATTGTTGCGATTCTCAATGTGCTTATCTTAGGCTTGGCCATTCTGGCTATTGGCTTTTCATTTTGGTTTCAATTCCACAGTGGCTCATCATTATGCCAAAAGGTTCTCTACAAGCCTTTGTTGTACCTGGGGCTGGCCCTTTTGGTGATTTCAGTGTTTGGTTTGTTGGGTTCATGTTGCGGGATCAAATTCTTCTTGTGGATATATCTTGCTGTGATGTTTTTCCTGATTTTGGGGTTGGTTTGTTTCATGTTTTTCACCTTGGTTGTGACGAATAAGCGTGTCGGACAAGCGATATCAAACAAAGGGGTGAATGAACACAGGCTTGGGGATTACTCAAAGTGGTTGCAGAGATATGTGGTTAATGCAGATAACTGGGATGAGATTAAGAGTTGTTTGGCTGATGTCCATCTCTGTCAACAAATTGATAGTGGTAAAAGCCCTGACTTTTACAAAAAGGGCCTGCCTCTTCTTCAGGTATTTTCTGTATAACTGCGAATTCTGCTTCTCCTGGTCACTTTTTCTAAAAAAAATAAAATTGGTGAAAGCGCACACAATAGGGACTTTGAGGCTAATTATGGTTGGTTTAACTGTTAATGAATGGGCAAACGCTAATGAATGAATGTATTACTCCCTAGTCACATAGAGATCCTTCTGTTTATTTTATTAATCTAAGTATGTGATTTTCCATCAATATGAGTATGATCATATAAATTCAAAACATAAACCTGTTTTAGCAGCTTCCAATTGGTGTAAGATTTGAGAGTTAATGCTTAGATTTTATTCTAAATTTGAAAGCAAATTCAGTAAACTACCTTAGTAGTCTAACAATATTTAAGGCTGATGATTTAATGAAGTTTAGCCTTACTTTTACCGTTTAGAACTTTCTAATACGTGAATCTTGCTCGATTGCGTGTGTATGTTTGCAGTCGGGCTGCTGCAAGCCTCCCACCTACTGCGGATTCCAGTTCCAGAATGCAACAGTTTGGATCATGCCGAAAAAAGGGCCGGCCGTCCCGGACACCGATTGCAAGACTTGGAGCAATGACCAAACCAAGCTTTGCTTTGATTGCGACTCATGCAAGATTTCATTCCTGGAGAACATCAAGAATGAATGGAAGACTTTGGCTATCATCAATTCTTGCACCTTGGCAGTTGTCATCTTCATATACACAGTCGGTTGCTGTGCTCTTAGGAGCAACCGATCTCGTGGATACACCAAACACAGAAGCTACCCTTGATTTCTAGAATACTGTCCTTCTAGCCGTCTATAGGTCATTTAAATTCTTCTGATGAACTACTTACTGAAACATGCATGATGATATCAGGTTCTATACTTGGCATTGTTGTTCTATTTACCATAGACTGACTACTTGCTAGGTTACAACTAAAAGGTACAATTCAAGCACACTGATTGTTAAGAGTAGGTTGTTATTTCATGTGTGGCATCAATTTCATTTGGAAATGCATATGACCAGCAGCTCTTTGCAACTTACAGTATTCTCTACACATTTTTGTTTCTAAAAGCACATGTCCAGCATATTACCTACCTAGATTAAAGTACAAACAAAACGGGAGTGAACATAAGAATACTACAATTTCATTAGGATAAAAATATTGAATAAGACTCATCTCTGTTTGTGCTACAGATAGGAAAAAGTCATGGAGCCGTATTTCTAGCACTGTCCATGGTTCATGGTTCACAAAGGAGACCTAAAAGTTTTACTTGAGGAAGGTACAAGCCAAGAACAAGAAGACATAAACTACCATTGATGTTAGGAGCTCCAGTGTGAAAGTTGCAGGCAGTAGAGATGTAGGAATCAGGGGAACAAAGAGGGATCCACCGATCCAACCAACGACTAGAGCTAGAAATCTGCGATAGACATGAGCATATTTCAATACCTAATTCAAGGAATTTCCAAATAAGAACGTGACTATCCACACAACAGTACTAGGCAAACTTACCCGGTAATGGCAGCTCTAGGCACGCTTTTCATCTTGTCATTGAGGAAGTAAATACATGCTGCCAATGATATTGCTACCTACATACCATATATTATACACATGAGGTTTTATGCTAATGAAGCTTTTGTACACGAACCAATTTCTAAGCAAAAGAAATTTTATGAGTTTCTCAAGCTCTTTCTCCCTTATATCCATAATCACACCAGAATAGAATTGACTAGACAGCAAATCGAATCAACGAGTGTAGTTCAACTATTCAATCTCTACCTTCATGTATGTTCAACCTTAGGAATAACACACTCAAAGATATGGTTCTTAGTAGCAAAGAGAACAGAAAACTTGGACATAGTCTATACTTGCTAGTGATTTCCCACACGTGCTATTGAGAGAAGAAATACAATCAGCGCAGACAGATTCGAGGAATGAGTAGATTTAGTATTAAATGAGCACAAAACCATTGGACCGAACACCAATTTAAGTACACAGTACCTCTACACCCTGAAATGATTAGTGCAAGAGATAAAAGAACATCCAACTTGGCCAACTTCTTCAGGATGGTAAATTTGAAAAGAAAAACCCGTAAAGGTCCAACCAAGCTTCAGAGAATTAGCATAACTTTGAAATTTCAGCTTAGCTCTTCATTTTCTAATAGTTATCTCGGAAAAAGGTTTTTGTAAAACAAAATACTAACAAACTTTTTAAAAACATGCCTATAGTTTACACTAACACCCTCACTCTCTGATTCATAAAGTTGATCTTAATTTTAGGAATATAGCAGGTGCCAACCCAATAACTCACCCCCCCAAAAGCAAACTTAAGAAATTGACGAAGAAAAATTTAGTCAGAAAGAGCTTGTAAGTTTCAAAACAGTGAGATTTTACAATTCGTGCAACAAGTTGAGGCTGACAAAAGGAATCAAGAACATTATACAATACCGCACATTTATTCGAGGGCATCTTGCAAAATCTTCTCGGTTAACACAGAATTTTTAAAGGATCGACTAAAATCACGCACCTGGAAAGCAGGACCAGCTTGAGCAGAATTCATCACACTCCAGCAGGCCATAAATCCAAAGAGGAAGAATCTTCTCATAATAATTACACCAGGCGGAAGTTCAACAAAATTGAGCAAGTTCTGAACCCAAGGTGGAGATTCTTCTACTTTCTTCTTTAGTTGACTTTTCAAGTTTATTTTGGTCTTCTTCCTATGTCTAAAGCTCGCCATCAATATCTTCTCAAAAGCGGCTTCAATTGATTCGAAACTAGTCTCATGACCCGCATACTGATTCAACAACATATTCCGACAGCTCCAAACTTCCTCTTCTGAAGCATCCCTATCTATCCCTAATCGCTTGTAAGGATCCCAAACCCGAATCCTTGGAAACACTGTATTGCTACCTACATGTGCGGCATAACATTTTGTAAGTATTAAAACCTTCCAAAGCATTCTAAAATCACCCAATCGTAAAAGTTAATTACTCAAATTGCAGAACATCATCAAACCGTTCCCTGAACATAACCACCCCTCCCCCCCACCCCCCCTTCCTTCATCAGTAATGCCATTTTACAATCAATAACTCTCTCTACATGAACAAAATACCAATCTAATTCACAACTATTTCCGGAAGAAATTATCGAAAGACAATTGCATCAGATACGGTCAACTAACCTTCATATGGAGTGTCATACGCACACATAGGAGTCCTTAAAGCCAGCCCACGGGAAAATTTTAACGGAAAAGATAACCAACTGTTCGAATTTTTCCTCTGGATTAAACTGCAGAGAAATAAAGATCAAACGGCGGTGCATAAAAACAAAAAAAAATATATATATATCAGAAACAAACAGAGCAGCATAGCTTTGAGCTTACCGTTTCTGAACAAGGAAAGGAGAGGAAACGGTAGGGTTCGCCAAGGAAACAGACGTCGCCATGAAAATTTTCCCAAGCTCTCTTCTACCACAAATTTCAAGCTTAATTCGTCGGTTTCCCAATTGAAGAACCCTAAGTGGAGCTGGAAATCGATTGGAAAGCCATAAAAAGAATTGTATGGGATAGAAGATAGAGAGACTTCCAAGGAGTGTTTCTTTTCTGGTGGGCGAGACGGAGAGGAAGAATGTTGTTCACACGCTTTTGTTTTCATATAGCGCTTTCTTTTCTTTTTTTTACCCCTTAGTTTATACATATACAGTAGTATAATTAATAGAAATTATTATTGTTGTAATTCTTTTTGTAATATTTCATTTTCTGTAAGTATTAATTATTCAGTCAACAACAAATACTACTCCCTCCGTCCTATAATTATTGTCCAGTTTGAGTTCTCATTTCTAATTTAAATTATGTTAAAAATGAAATCTCAAACTGGACAATAATTTTGGGATGGAAGGACTACAATTTTTTCCATCATGATAATATTTCATTAATTAATTTTTACTTAGTCATGAATATGTTTTCTATACAAAAGGAGATTAAAAATTTCGAATTATTTCCAACTAATAATGATGCTATTAAAATAAACACGTATGTATTGAAAATTTATATCGAATAATTATGATACTTTTTGTACTCTGAATATATAATTACTTGCATTTAGATAATTTACTATTTCAGACTAACGGTTTTTAAGATATAACTTTTGTCAAATTAATAATCAATCAATAAATAATTTTGAATGGTTAATAATTTTATTCATGTCCCATCTAGTGCAAAAGGTGAGTAAAATCAATAAAATAATAACATAAAAATATTTTTGAAAATCTCATGTATATAGGTCCATATAATATAATACTATAACTAATAATTTCCCTATATCAAAAGAAATATAATAACAAATTATGGATATTTCTTTTCTCAGTAAAGTGTTCTTTTTCTATCAAGGAAATTTTTTAAATTAATATTTAATTAATATATTAATTATTTAATAATTCTCTAAATTAATAAATTTTAGTAGCTATTAATTTAAAAAAAGTATTACTGTTGTTACTTTTTGTCGAACTACAACCTAATATGGGGGGAAGAGACATCTGATTTGCAGCTTATATGGTTTTTAAAGGTCTTGCTATCAATGAAATTTATTCCTTATTTATGTATTTAAAAAAAAACTGATATATTAGTTCTGGTGTTAATTTTTTTTTCCTTTTTTTCCCCCTCGGTTAAATTTATTGAAAAAACTACAAAGAAATAAGAGAGTTTTGAGTTTTGACAGCTCAAGTTTGATCAAATAATGATATGCTGTTCAAACAAACTTCCAATCATCATTATGTGCTTTCATTGAGACTCATTGTAATGATACAAGATTACTAAATGTGAACTGTGGTAATAACAGAAAGCTAGTATATGGTATTTCCAGGTGAGGTTCTTAATGGCATCACAGTCTGGAGTTTTCGCTTTGAGTGAACTGCTGCCGCAGAACCCTTCTCATGACCTTGTTTGTTGCAGTTCTTGGAAGGCAAGGTAAGGGAACAATATTGTAAACCTGAAAAAGAGATCGAAAAATTTGATAGAAGAAACAGTATTTTTACAGACTTCTTAGCCAGTAGTTGTATCAAGAGATTCACCTTGAATAAAGGGTTCAGCTTTTTCTGCAGTGCCGAATTGAAAGACTGCATCAGTGTGTTTAGGTCGGTGGTAGCAGAACTGCTGGAATCCTTGAACACAACAGCGATAGTCAACCTCTCAGGGCCACCACCAGGAGGAGGCACTCCAACAGCTGCTGTCTCGAGGATATTACTATCCACTGCATTACAAATGCGCTCGATTTCTACTGAACTTACCTGCCAAAAAGAGTTGAAAAGGTTCTTGGGGTGAAGCAGACGATGAGAACACATGCAATGCAGAAGAATGCCAAACTTATTCATATATCTTTCTGAAGAAAAAAGATGCATGAAAAGTTGGATAACCAAACTTTTATGCGGAACCACAAGAAATATAACACATTTACAAAAGAGGGTAATTGTTGACCTTGATCCCACCAAGATTCATTGTATCATCAGCACGCCCATGTGCATGATAGTATCCCTTTGTGGTTCTCTCAAACACGTCTCCGTGCCTTCTTAAGACCTGTATGAAGTTACGGAAAATTTAAAGGAGACAGTTGATTGTTATCAAGCTTCTCAAGTCTCAATAATGAAGTACGGAAAGGATTAGTTACTACCTTCCCATTCCAGACTGGCATCCCCTTGAAGTACACAGCATTATGGTCTGCATTCAGGAGTGTACTTGAAGCTCCAAACATGGTAGGACCAAGCGCCAGTTCTCCTATGGCAGCTAAATTTGATGGCTGCAAACAATAAAAGAGAAATCATGTCTCAGATCATATTAAAAGAGTTCTTCTGATACAAGACATCTGAGCTGATATAACTTATCATTACAAATTTCCTGACATCCTATAAACAGTGAAACAGTATAATATAGAGGAAAACTTACTATCTCATTAGAAAGAGTGAATACTTCACTTCTTTTCAGTTGGATGTTACTGAAATGACATGTATCAAAGGCAAATGAAAACCAAGACAAAGAAGAGCCAAAGGATGCTCTTTTTTCTCCTATGTAAAATTTTCATGGTACCTCCATTTCTCTTTCCCATGCTACATATTCAAACAGCGGAACAAAGCATACGAAATTCACAACTACTTTTTCCAGCCAGAATAAAATAAAAGAAGTAAATAAATTTTTTCTGTATTCTTTTTTTCAAAGAAACAGTGTCAGCGGTAAGGCTTTATTCTAATTACTTAGCTGATAATGCTATATCAAGAGGTGTTGTTGAATCAAGCTTACCAGAGGGGAACCATCCTCGCCAAGAATAAACAAGCTACAACCCATTGCTGGAGTGCTGAAAGCTGCCAAAGACTGCGGCTGCACCATCGAACCAGTAATAAATCCTCCACCAATCTCTGTACCTCCACAATATTCAATAACAGGCTTGTAAAGAGCTCTTCCCATCAGCCACAGGTATTCATCTACACTTGATGCCTCCCCAGTTGAGCCAAAACAACTACAGAAGGACGTATGAAAATAAGCAACCTAAGCAATTTAGAGCTTGAGCATACAATATCCTTCTCTAAACTTGAATCTCCCCATGCAAAAACTACATAAACAGGCATGCAAAATAGAAAGAAACCATGAGCATGCTGTTTCTCTTGTGAAGAATGATATTGGAGTGGTTACCTAGACCTACCGGATGGTTGACCAATCACAGCCAACTGTAGCATTTGTAGTCTTCCACACCCTCACGATACTTGGGATCACACCAAGCATAGTAACTTTGGCATCCTACACAAAGTACGAGAAGGCCAATCAGAAAATCAATCAGGACTTACAGATTGAGCATGAGGTGGATTAAACAAGCTTCGGCAATAGTTCAGATTAACAAGAGTTCAGATAATGTACAGACTTGATTCAGAAAGTGATTCGTGCATATGGTTCAAGCCAATAAAGGATTATCAACGATTTTTAACGCCAAGGAAGCTTTATAATTATACTAACTTTGAACATTTCTGGAGTGGCACAATTTACAAATGCATTTTCAGGAAATTCAAATGTTTCATGTATCCAGCTCAATCTTTCTACAAATAAAATGATCGTGAAATAAAAAATGGCCAACTAATTTCTTTATCATTTTCAATTCTCAACCAAGGCCAGGGACTTCAATATTAAACAAGAAGATATCGCCCAGTACATGTCAACAGAATACAGATACATAAGCATTTTACTTAAGACTGAAATCATGGGCTTTAGATACTGTAAGGCAAGCTTCATCAGTTCAAAAATATTTATCACATAACATACAGCTTCAAATTTTCGATTCAAATAGAAATACAAAGTAATTCTACTATTTAAGAAAAAAAGAACATAGTTCTCCAAAAGAAGCAGTCTCTACCTGAACAAACTTGGCAAATCCGGAACCAAGGGGTGACCCATTATATAGAGCTACTGAAGCACTATTTAACAGTGAAGCATAAACCAACCAAGGACCCATCATCCACCCAAGATTAGTAGGCCAAGCAACAATGTCGCCTCGGCGAATATCCAAATGAGACCATCCATCAGCAGCGGCTTTCAAAGGTGTTGCAACAGTCCATGGAATTGCCTTTGGATCACCTAAACAATGATAAGTTTATTAAGCAAATGAAAAGTAATGTAATCCAGCCTATATGATAATAACAATTAAAAAGAATTAAAAAAAAAAAATCTCATGGTCCTACATTTTAACTGCATAAAAATGCCATGTACTTGTGCAGTCCATTATATGTTATCACACCACAGGTTCAATAGCTAATTCATGAGACTAGTGTTCTAGCTTAAGCAGTAGTTCATTAAACTGTCACTCTACCAACAAAACAAATTTATTTCATAAGAAGAACAAGGGCGAATAAGATGATTAGCCAAGTATGCCTGTTTTAAGAGATTGACAGCAAAATCTCTATTCAGTTATCTTATCCACTGTTATTGTGCACACAAAAGAGAGGTAAACTGTGTCATCAACCTTAGGTAACATGATTAGATCAAAAATTATTTCACAAGAATAGTTCGCATTCAACAAAACTGCAACCGGAGAACCTCGCTGAAGATTTGATTGACAATGCATAGTAGGAAAACATGATCTTATATCTGAAATAGAAATTACTACTTTTTGTACATATTCCAGGTCATTTTGGTTCCCACTAAAATTTCTGCTGTGGTGACTGTAGGAATCTTAAGTGCATTGTGTGCAGTCAGAGAGAGCTAATTGCACTAATGATGCTGACCACCAACCCTCATGAAAACAAGGAGCACTTCAAAAATTATCAATTGCTGTTACCAATTTAAAGCGTTATTATTTGAAGGAGGATCTCCAATGTAAAAAGGGGAAGAGACTAAAAGCCCGTTTCTATAACGAACCTAATACACGAGAATGAACAAGGTATACACTCAAATTTCAATTAAGTCCAATAATATTGCTCTTGCAGTTTAATTTCAAAGAATGAAGCCTTTCTATTTGATTGCCATTCTTCCACTTACTGGTCATTAATTCCATCTCAAAATCGAGCTATACCAGGACATAAACTGGACGAAGTTTGGTCACAACTCTACCTGTGGTTCCAGAAGAGAAGAGAATATTACTGAATGCTTCAATTGGTTGCTCAACAGCAGTATATTCAACTTCCCTGCAAATAAGAACTTGTTTTTAGATAACAAAGTACAAATGAACTATATGCACACTAATGTATCTTCATTGAGATAGCTAAGCAAACAGAAATGTACTCCAAGTTAGACACTAGTTGGTTTCTGAACTCATCTCAACATCCCAAAACGAAGGATTCTGTAGTAAATTCTCTTCTTCTGAAGACCTGCACTTTGATTGCAGTAAAAGTCCATGTAATTCTATAATTTCCAAGTAGCATATTAAGCCTTTTTTTCTCTTTTTTTTTTTGTGGAAGGGGGAGTGCGGGGAAAGCATATTAAGCATATATAGCTAGTACTTCCCACCCAAACTTCTTATTAAAGAACAAAGAAGAGCGTAATAAAGGGAAATCTCAGTTATATTGAGGAGCCAATGAAAAACATGGCAACAACAATGATCCAAAAGAACTTATGAAGAAAACAAAACAAGAACGCAATGCTTTATGTACACTTTTTGAGATGAACCACTGCCATCAGATATAGAATAATATACTCCACCATTTGTGACCTCAAGCTCTTATAAATCAGTATTTATCAAAGACATTTTACTCAAACATCATATATCTTTACGTCGCATCCTTAAAAAATTACCAACCCAATCAATTATCTTAATTATTTTTCTATTGACTAGAAAACCCCTTTTCAAGCTAAGCAAGAAGCAATTAAACTGTGCTTCAATGAACTTCATAAATGAGCAAGAAGAAAACATTCAAATGAAAATCCGTAGAGGATAAAAGAACAACTGAAGGTCACAACATCACCTCAGTGTCAATTTTCACACTTGTTGAATCAAATAAAGCGCTTACTTTGAAAGTTCTGCTCTCTTTAAAAAATCCTGCCAAGAGATGTCGCCGTCACGTAATTTCATGCTGAAACTGGAACCTCCGGTAGGAATTACAACTGCCAAGGGAGCTTGTGCATCAACTACTCTACTGCAGAATCAACCACAAATGTAAGAAGCACTAGAAGCAAAAAAACAAGAGTAGGAAAGAAACCATAAATAAGAACGTGATGCTTACCTGTACAGTGGTATTTTCTTGTCTCCACGCAGAATAAGATCCTGAGGCAGGTCATTGGACTAGATTAAATTTTGCAACAGCTTTAAGCATCCAAAGAAATGTAAATTTACTGGACTTCCAATCAAACTCAAGCAAATAACATTCAATATGTATAGACTAAGAACTGAAACTACTCTTTCTCTTGATGGGAATAAAAGGCTAAGCAAGTTAATGAACATTTCTCTTTCTCCCACTTTTCACTGTCATCACAAAGTAATCTTGGAGAAAATCCACAGTGAATAGTTTCAGCATATAGCCATGATATATTTTCTTGACTGAGAAAAGACAGAGAATGATTGCATCAAACAATGGCTAGTAGCAGTAGAAAGTCCTTGGTGAGTACTTGTGACTACGTGATTCTAACAGTATTCAACAAACATAGGTAAGATCTCTAGCAGCCCTCACCTGAGTAAAAATTGCTCTGGCATTTGATATTTTCAGCCTTGTGGATATTTCAGTTGGTGCAAAACTATCTGCAATGGATACTACTACGTAACCAGCAAGTACAATGGCTAGGTAGATCACGACAGCATTCACATCCATTGGCATATCTATAGCGATTGCAGATCCTTTATCCAGAGCCAGAGTGTCAAGTGCATGTGCAACTTGCCTGTAAAACAATTGCAAATGAGAGGTCTCAACTCTAAATTGGAAAAGTTTCCTAGGGTCTTTTAGAAACACATCACCAATTTATAAAGCAGACAAGTTTAATATGAAGTCTTCAGAAAAATTGTAAACCGCCACACAAACCATAATTCAACTATGCACTTTTGTACAAGTCACAAGAACCTCAATTGTCAAAATTCCATCTGGTTCTACAACTTGAAATATTCCCACTACGAAAGATCTGTGCACAAAATGTAACTTTATCATCGCATTTAATTTTCAATTGTTTCAGTGGTACAAGTCAAGCAAAAAGTTGCAATTCTTCAAAGGGGACAGGTTTTTCACAAGAAGGCACCCCAGATGTTAAACTCGAATACACCTCAAAAAATTCGATTTTGCTCTCACATTTGTTACTTCTTTTCCATCCTTAACTTCAATTGAGCTTACATTTTCTAGTTTTTTCTTTTGTTTCTGAACCTTGAGCCAACTTCTTTTACAAGAGAGTCAGTAAGAGAGGCTGGTCATCCTAAAGGTTAATAGCACATCCAAGCTGATCTGAGCATGCCTTAGGGTTTATATAAAGAGTAAAATAAGGTAAACAATAACAACAAGGAATATAAACACATGAACATAAGTTTCGAATATACAGATAAAATAACACCAGAGAGAGATTACCAAACTGTAAAGCGCAACTCTTTAAGTGTTTTCGTTTGAAGAGGCAATTTATCATCTCCTTCATCACGCCACAGTATAACTACATCATCCCTCGCCCTTTTCTTATTTTCACTCAGACAAAGCTTTGCTGGATTAAAATAAGCACCAGGTAGCCATTGGCCTCCAGGGTAAGATGGATTCTCTCCTAAAATGCATTCGGGTTCTACCGAGAAAGATGCATTCATTTCATCGAAAACAGCTTTCCAGTAAACCTGAGGGAAAAAATGGTTTGAGAAATTAAACACTCATGGAGATCAAGATCCCAGTCACTATGATTGGACATGAAGAGCTGAACTTCCAGTAAGAGCACCAAGGTACATTAATTCCGAGAAAAGTTCACCTCCGGATTGGACACTGAAAATTCCTGAAGATCACTGAAACTGGAGATGGGATCTTCATATTTTGTTCCCAAAAACTCATTTCCACGGCTTTCTAATAGTTGCCCAACATTAGTTAACTTAGCAGTTTCCCTGGGAAAATAACAAACATAGAACACAATTCGAGTCACATTAGGAGTATGCAATGTTAATCAAGCTCTACACAGTGATCCAAGACATTCAAATTTTGCAAATAACTCAAACCATAGTCGCAAAAAGTGTTTTCTCATCGTTTTACTAAACAAAAATCAGTAACTATGAGGAAAGCAGAAATGCCTCATCCACCAATTCCGTTGCAATTTAGACAACAAGTACTGACCTAATTTCAACCTGCAATACTACAACTCCTCAAATGTTATATATATTAAACATCAAGTTCCTACAAAACTTCCCAATTTATTCAAAGCATTAAGTGCCCAAAAAAATGCCATCCCGGTGTATCTTTTAATCCAATGTTACATTAACTTGCAATATTCTCAGAATCATACTTTACATTAAAGTGTAAGAAAGTTGGCATCTTTTCCCCTGCATGATCAATGACCAATGCCATACAAAAACACCCAAATGAAGAACCTTTTAATCAGGGAAAAATCAATCTATCAAATATGAAATAAAAGAACGTAAACCCGATCTATAGCAATCTTACGGGTCAGGCAACCAGGCAGGAGGGTCGGGCCCAAAATCCTTGTAGCAACCATGATACATCATCTGATGAAAAAGGAAGGGAAGTTCCGGGTTGAGAAGGTCTTTGGAGATATGCTTCCATGTCTGAGGAGTTGCAGCCCCGTAATCACGAATGATTTCAGTAAGCTTCTCGTGAAGTTGCTCTGCTTCCTCTTCGGCTATGCCCAAAGAAAGTATATCAGAGACGGTGATCAAATCCAAAGCTTTATAATTTTGAGCCATAAAAATGGGTTATTTCCGGTTCTGATGTTGGGAAATTGCAGTGATTCTAGTTTTGCATGTAGAATGAATTTAGCTGCAAATTTGCGATACAGTTTGAAAGTTGGTAATCAACACTCAACAGAAAGAAAGAACTTCTGAGTCAATAGCAGTTTGAAATAGTTATGACTTCGCAAAACGATAGATATTAGATAAGGTTGGCATTCATTAATTTTGAAGCTCTCTTTGTTTACTCCCTATGAAAATGTTTTCCTACTTGTGATTATTTGATTGAATTAGTCAAAAATTTATGTAACACATGTAGCATTCTTTATCTCAAAACACCAACATGGGTAATGCTCTGGCCGAATTTTTTTTGGGAACAAAGGAGGCTGTAGTTGACAAAAATTAAATTAAAACGTTCCGCGATACTAGACCCGATCAAATTGTGCTACAACCACAATTTAACCCCTCATGACGGTTTTTTTTTTTTTGCCAAACGATAATCATTATATTAAATAAAATAAAAAAGATACAACCACAAGAGTTGGGCTACAACAACCTACAGTTGAACTATTACAATCCATCTTTCTCGCTATACCTAACAACAGAATTAGTGATACAATCCCAAATCTGTGTACAGAGTTAGATATAGCATATTTGACAGTATTGTAGCAACATCACTGAATACAAAAGATTTACTAGAATTTATACAGAAACAAAGAAGACTCTATTCTAGCAAATGATAATTAGATTAAAATCTATCGAGACTAAAATTGCAGATCTGGCTCTTAGTCTCAGATCTTTTGTACCCAGAAGTCCCAGATCTGTTGTCGTTTCATCCGTTAATCTTTAAAGTCTGTGTCCCTCTTCATCAACTACCATAAACTCTAGATCTGTCCTCTCTCTATCAGATCTGTTGAAGAACAACTATCTAAAGTATAAAAAAACATAAAAACTAACGCTCTCTCAAACAATAATTGAAACTTCCAAAAAATGAAAGAGACAGAGACTCTCAAATTCAGAGAGCATTACTTTCAACAAGGGAAGAGCAAAAACACCCAAAAGGGTGAGCGAATCTACAACTGAAAATAAACTGAAATCTCCCCCAACCTCCATTAATGAAGGAAGGAGGAGAGGAAGAAAGAAATTTTTTTGGGAGTTTTAGAGAGAAGGAAGAAAATCGGGAGTAGAGAAAGAAAGAGAAAGAGTAAAGTGATGACGGATTATTAACCCAGTACAAACTCAACGGATAGGTAGAAGCTAAAGATACCATATAATTAGCTGCAAAATTCGACTCTGTCACCTCCACAACCCAATTTATTATTATTTTTTTTGTTACAAAGAAAGAAATTACACGCCTAAAATCATGTTCTTATATTCTTAGGGTAAAAAACCTCAACTAAATCATGTTGTAACCATAATTTCATCTCCGTTGTAGGAACCTGTAGTCATTGCAAACCTCTTGGCCTCTGAAATGCAAGTGTTACCAAATAATCAACCATAAAGTTAGCATCAAGAAACACATGAACAATCTCAACAACCAAGTCACGTCTCATCAACTCTCGAATTCCACGTACATTACCAGCATTCATCCAACATTCAACCAAGCAGGTAGGTCGGGTTTAAAATGACATGAATCTTTTGGCTTAAAATGACAATTGGATTTTTTGTTCACCTAAAGGACCAGTGCCAAATGTAATTTCTGCTCTCTTTGTTTATTTATAATAATAGAAAAAATAAAGAAACGTACCATATAGGAATATATCCGGGTAGATATGACAATGACGCCACTGCATCATGCTTAATTATATGTATTTATCATTTGATAGGGTGGCGTTTTTGTAGTGTCAAATTAGTTAGTTGTAGTGCCCTATTTATTCATACACGTCACATGTTCAATCTCATCAGTTGTATTTTAGAATGAATACTACTATCCAACAAAGAATCATACAAAGTGAATTTGATTGATACAACTTTGATCGTTGTTTTATGGTGATTCCTGAGCCCGACGAGAATTTAATCGGAGCTTCCAGGAAGCAATTTGGTTGAGCCTACTGTACCAAAACGTCTGGTTGAGGCTGGGATGATTTTAGAAGGTGACAATATTTCAGTAAAGGAGAAATTGTAAGAATCTGTTCCTAACCGGCTCTGCAGCCATCCTTTACTTCCCGAAAAACCATCTGTCACGATCCAGCTGTTCTTAAAGCCGAGTTTCGTTAGGGTTTTCGCTACTATCTTAGCTGTATCCGAATATCTGCAAATTATAATTTTGACAGCATAAGTCAATCATTTGAGACAGACAATTGTGCAAGATATTCTTACTGAAGCAACTGAGCAAGAGAGCAGGAACTTACGTGCCCATGATCACAATGTTGGACCCTTTACTAATCCTCTTCAAGTATGAAATTTTTAAAGCCACCAATTCAGCTTCTACGTTCTTTACATTTCTCACAAGCCCTTTAAGCTTGCTGGGCAATTCTTCCAATCTGACACAATGAATCGATTGATGTTATAGCAATCTTCATGCACAAGATGTTAGGTAGTAGAAGTTATTGAAGAATAACATGTTAAACAATGAAGCAAAATGTAGATTCGGAATCAAAATCTTAATATCTGGGAAGGGAATAATTGCTAGTTGAGGGCCGCAAGCACTGGAGAAAGTAGTAAAAACTAAAGGATCACGATTACTCACGGAATTGCAACCATTTTGTTTTTAGCATTAGACGGAAGGCGAGGAATCCCAGCTTTGTCTTTATCCTTCTCCGATCTAATATCAATCAAGATGTAATTCTTTGTAGACATCAGATCTAATGTCTGTGCTGGAGTCAGGTCACCTACATAACAATTTCGATGAATCAGAAACTTAAAACCTGAAAATTGCATATCACATCAAAACCCAATAATTGTTTTGTTTGTGCACATAGGAATAATGGCAAACATTGTGGTTTCATTTGTCAAAAAACTTTGAGGGGGAATAAAATATTTATTCCAATTCATTTCTTTAGTAATCATTATGAGCATTCATGAAATGCGTGCTCGAGGAAATGAATTAGGGAACAGTTGAAGTCATCAAATTTACCCTTGTATCCGCGAAGACTGAAAGATATGGCAGAAAAGACAGGAGGAAGAAGCAAATAAGCAAGGACCAGTGCCCCACCAGCACCAACAATTGTAAGAGGGTCAGCAGAGGAGATGGTCTGAACTGTTGATGCAGCCATAGGCTTGGCATCTACAATAACCTTGGTGGTTTGTTGTGCAACATCAGAAGCCGTCTGCAGCAATAAGTCAAGACACTTCTATTAGTACACAACAGGACAAAATGCTCAACTATGCACAATCGTGGAGCTTTTTGCATTAAAACAGGAAATGATGATTACTAACATTGGGTGCACCAAAAAAGGCCTGCTTTTAACAAAATTGAGAGAACCCAAATGTTTGCCCTTTCTAAGCAAAAGTTAGTGATATATAGTAAATTTCATTTGTTAGAGGCAGTGCAACTTCTAAAGGAAATTAAGGTTGTTTCTTACCTTTGTTCCATGCAAAAACTTAGTCATAAACGAGATATCCAAAGGATCAATAAGCACAGATAATTAACATAGGGAAGCCCCTATCAGTGCAGCAAAGTTTAGTCACATTTATCATTTCGATAATAGCACCCAATCCTAAAAACTCAATCTAATGGTTGATTTGGCATTCCATACTGCCATCCCCTCCTAAAGAAAGAAGCATGTCTTGGTACTTGTCATCCCCTAAATTGAATGTCGCAAGAAAAGAATATTAAATAGCTATTTTGGTCTATCCAGCCCAAACCAACAGATAGGCCTGATTCGTTCTATTATATTCTCTTTCTCTCTATGAGTGATAACTCATTCAGTCAAAGTACTCAAAGGTTTTGAATGAGAAACATGCATTCCCAACAAACTCAAAAGAATGTTCTTTTAATAATGATATGCAAATAAAAACTAAGCGGATGAAAAACGAAAAGACCTTCGCTGCTGTTAATACAGGTTGTGTGTCAAAGCCAGAGCTTTCAATTGCTTCTTGAGCCTTCTTCGAGGCCTCTGAAATCACAGGGGAAGCAATCTTTAAGGCCTGCTCTCCAGCCTGCTTTAAAATAGGTACTGCAACATCGATTCCCGGCTTCACAACCTCAACCACGCTCCCAATCACTTGCCCAGCAACACCGAATATACTTGAGCTCACATCTTGAACTTTATCAATGGTGGATTCTACCTGAAATATTCAGTGAAAGAACTATTAAAAACCAGAAATGACGTGTACATTAGACATACACTTTAACATTAAGCACTTAGAAATTTCAACATGCAGATGTGATCCATAGAGCATATCCCAACATATTGCAATAAAGGCTTAGTTGTATAAATTCAAGAAGAACTTGGCAACTACATTATGAATTAACAAATTTAAGATGAAGTTAAGTAATGATTATCTCCATTTGTTTGACATGTTCTGACATCAACCGAAGATCTTCAAATACAACAAAATGCAAGTTTAATTCATCAATGTAACTATGCTCTACAGATGGCACACCTTTCATCTAAGTGGGTAGACTCTTTTTCTTGTTCAAAAGTATATATATCATGATAAATTTGACTTGTTGCCAAATACTTAGCTCCACTTGTTATAAAGTGCAGAGATTTACTCAGACTCACTGCATCACATGCCATGGAATCATGTTTTGCTTCAAATTGGTTCAAAATACAGTTGATGTTCCTTCGTAGCAGTGACAAAAACTGCCTTACTGCCACTAAAATGGCTCTTCAGGAACAGGTTCCTCAGAGGCTACACTTGGATAGTGTATCAACAATCAATAAGCTGATTTTCTCAATATACCAAAAATTGAAAAGTTACAGCTTGATATGGTCTATAAACATTTAGAAATCATCAGAGATGTATTTAAGGATCACTTGGGGCTCTGCGTAAGAAATAGAGATCACAAAATAATAGTCTAATTTCAGATTCTTCTTAATAATACTGTTACTCACAGTAAACTCTATGGTGACAAATAGCTTATTTAATGTGTTGTACCTTGAACCCCTCAAAAAGTTGTATCTCTTCAAATGTGGACAATTTTATGCAGACAGGGTTTTGAAAAAAAAAAAAGAAGGAAAAATATCTGCACTTTTCAATTCAATGTTCTCAATCGCATAGCAGTTACTAAGTGCATCGTGTATTCAGCCATTGCTTATCTCAATTTTCGTGATAGATTGGACACAAATGATGGACAAAGCAAGCTATGAACCAAACTCACTTTGAAGCCTTACCATGTTTGTAATTTTTCTTTGCACATTACTTGTATACATCAATATTCATTGCCTAAAAAAATTAAAATTCCTCAAGAATTCCAACCACTTACAAACAACAGAACTATGAATTTGAAGTTACTATTTATAGGAGGGAATGTAACCAGTTTTCACATTTGGACTACGCAGTACAGAGAATACAAAAGCCACAAACACTGGAAACCAAGAAAAGTGATTCGTAGAACTTAGACTAACGACAAAACTGATAGCCGCGAATCAAGAATAGTAATAAACAGCATTCGAAGAGAAAATGAACATCAGATAGCATCAAACGCGAAATTGTAATAATTACCTGATCTAAAGAAGAGACAATTTGTTCCTTGGGAAGTGCGATAGCTCTGGCTCCATTAGGAGCTGCAAATGAAGCTAGTAAAGAGAGTGTAGTTGAAGTAGGGAGAGCAACCTGCAATTGATTTGATTTCAGAGGGACGGCTTTAATTGGAACAAATAGTTTGGGACTTGGGGAAGATGGTAATGCCGGCGGCGGAGGAAGTGGTGGTTTAGCGGTGGCTGAAGCTCTGAGGGCCATTGATCCACCTCCTCCTTTCCAGCTTCTAAACCACCGGAATCAGTAGCATCAGTCCACTGTGTGTGTGCGTGTTTTTTTTGGTCGGATTGTTCGAAACTTTTTCTTTTTGTAATCCGACGTGGGAGCTTTCAAATTCCAAGTTCGCCATCAATATTATGCCACGTGGACTATAGGATAAGATCCCCATGGCCTCCCATCTCTACTGCGCTCTCAGCCGTTGAGCCTTTTCTAGCCCTTTTCCTTTTATCCTTGGACTTTTCCATACGCACACATAGGAGTCCTTAAAGCCAGCCCACGGGAAAATTTTAACGGAAAAGATAACGAAATGTTCGAATTTTTCCTCTGGATTAAACTGCAGAGAAATAAAGATCAAACGTTCATTATAAAAATCATGAAATAACAAGTGGCGGTGCATAAAAACAAAAAAAAAAAAAAAAATCCAGAAACAAACAGAGCAGCATAGCTTTGAGCTTACCGTTTCTGAACAAGGATAGGAGAGGAAACGGTTGGGTTCGCCAAGGAAACAAACGCTTTTGTTTTCATATAGCGCTTTCTTTTCTTTTTTTTACCCCTTAGTTTATACATATACAGTAGTATAATTAATAGAAATTATTATTGTTGTAATTCTTTTTGTAATATTTCATTTTCTGTAAGTATTAATTATTCAGTCAACAACAAATACTACTCCCTCCGTCCTATAATTATTGTCCAGTTTGAGTTCTCATTTCTTGTTTAAATTATGCTAAAAATGAAATCTCAAACTGGACAATAATTTTGGGACGGAGGGAGTACAACTTTTTCCATCATGATAATGTTCCATTAATTAATTTTTATTTAGTCATGAATATGTTTTCAATACAAAAAGAGATTAAAAATTTCGAATTATTTCCAACTAATAATGATGCTATTAAAATAAACGCGTATGTATTGAAAATTTATATCGAATAATTATGATACTTTTTGTACTCTGAATATATAATCACTTACATTTAGATAATTTACTATCTCAGACTAACGGTTTTTAAGATATGATCACTATTTTAGGTAAAAGATTACTCCGGAATGGATCCAAAATACGACCTCCGGCACTAAATGCGGACTCAGAAGCAACCGTTGAAACCGGCACAGCCAATATATCCTTTGCAACCTTAGAAAAAACTTTATATTTTATTGAATTTGCCTTCCACCAAGCTAACACATCGAATGGACCCTCCGAACTCTCTTTTCCATCAGCTAAATAATTTTCCAACTCATACCTCACACCATTTGTTCCAGTTTGCAAACAAGACTTGAATTTGAGCATACGTCTCTCTTGTGAGCTAAGAGGCTTATTCTCACTATTTGCACCAGACTTGTTTTTTGTATGAGAAGAAGATTCCCCAACATGGGAAGTATCACGAGATGAATAAAAATCATAAAGCTTACTTAAAGTATCACTTACATTTGCTTTCAACTTAGCTACAAGATTAGCATTGGGGTACATTTCTTCAAAACATCAATCAACATAGTCCTTCTTGTAAGGAGGATCAAGAACCACAGCAACATACAACAAGGAATTCATTTTCTTCATATCACCCCAATATTTATCATACTTTTCCTTCATCTTTTCAGCCACGGCACTCATCTCTGTATTATCAAGATTTATACAGTCTAAAATATGGTCATGTAATAAACACATATCGTGAAAAAAATTGTTGGAAGTTACATATAAAGAACCTGAGAACAGGTTTATCACTTCAAAAAATACTTTAAGGAATCTCATAAAGCATTCTGCCAACTCCCAATCACTGTCTTTACGTGACCCAATTCTAGAAATATCATAACTTTTTTTTGCCTCCTGTTCCTTCAAGATGTCACTCAGACCAACATTAAAAAATCGAGTGTAATGTCCATTATCCTCCATTCGCTCAAAGGCTTTTCTATACTTCAATGCCGACTCCAACATCAAGTGAGTAGAATTCCACCTAGTAGAAACATCTAAACAAACAGTTCCACTATCATTCAACCCTTCTGTCCTCGTGCATTCTTTAAACTCATTGAACCTTGTAAGAGAAGATCTAATATATCTAACTGCATTTCTAATCACTTGAATAGAAGGATTATAATCTTTTAAACCATCTGTCACAACCAAATTCAAAATATGAGCACAACAATGCATATGCAAATAGTCACCATTTAAAACAGCTGTTCCCCAATTTTGAACCTTCTTTTTCATAAATGAAATAGCCCCATCATTGGAACTTGTATTATCCATAGTAATTGTAAAAATCCTCTTAATACCCCAAGTAAGTAAACACTTCTCCATCATTTTTCCAATTGTCTCACCCTTATGATTTGTAATAACTTTAAATTTTAAAATCTTTTTTTGCAACCTCCAATTGTCATCAATGTAATGTGCCGTTAAAACCATATCATTAATGTTTTAGCACGAAGTCCATGCATCAGTGGTGAGACAAACACGTTGTGAAGAATCATTCAAATAATCTTTCAATTTTTTTTTCTTCCACATATAAAGACAATGCATCTCTAGCAACCGTAATACGACTAGGCTTTCAAATCCCGGTCGAACCACACTCATGAAATACTGGAAACCTTCCTTTTCAAAAAATCTAAATGATTCTTCATCAATAATTATCATTATAACAAGTGCCTTCCTACCCAATTCTTTTGTAAAATATATTTTCACCTTCCCTTTTCGGCTGAAAACATAATTTTTTCTGTTTCCTATCAACCCTTAATGGACTATTCTTGCACAAATTCAACAAATATTTTTTCAATGTGCTAGTACCATTCTTACTAGGATCATAAGCATAAGTTTGTGGGCAATACTTACACTTAGTACGTGCACCTTTGGGTGGAATTGGATCCGGCTTGATAAAATGATCCCACACAATTGAGCCTTTTCTCCGTTTTTTATCACCATTATCACCTCTGTTTTCTTTGACTTCGAGTATCTCTTTATCTTCATCATCTATATCCTTGATTTCAACATCCTCGATATCAACATCAATATTAATATTTTCAATACCATTCTCCATTTTAGACACAAATTTGAAAAAGAAAATAACTATTAATTACATTAAAAACATAACTACTTGAAAAGGGAAATATATCTATAGTATTATACTAAGAGAGAAACTAGAGAGAGAGAATTAAATTTCTCCTCCCGTTGACACATAGGACAAAATCCTATGTGTCATTTTCCTATTGGTGGGCATAAAAAATATTTACAACAATTGCAATAAAAGTCCTTTGAATTTCCAGAAAAGTAATAGTTACTTCATTACACAATTAATGTATAATAATAACATTCTGTGGTCAAACTCATAAACGTATTCGGTGAGAAGAAAGTTTTTAAAAGGGATCAAAATTTGAAAAAACAACATTAATGCTAATTCGATGAGAGGAAAATTTGTAAAAAGGATAGAATTTTGAAACTATAACATTAATGTTGATTCGGTGAGAGAAAAATTTTTGAAAGGGAACAAAATTTGAAAAAACAACCTTAATTCTGATTGATTCGATTCCCATTCATGCATAATTATGCCTTTAAAAAATGATTTCATCACCACACAAGATTATTTGTTTTTAAATTAAAAAAAAATTAAAACAACATTAATGCTGATTGAAACGATTCCCATTGACACACAATTGTGCCTTTAAAAAATGATTTCATCATTACACAAGTTTGTCTGTTTTGAAATTCAAAAAAAAAAAAAAATTAATACAAAGTCATAAATGATGGCCTAACATAGTTCAACAACTTTAAAGCTGATTGACACTAATATGGATTCCGATTTGCTTGACTAATACCAAATGGTGAATGAAGAAAACAATACAAAATTATAGGATAGAGTCAGTTTGTGTTATCATGACACAATTAATGAATATCAATCGCAAAAAATCACTTAATCCCATAATCGCGGCAGATTTTATTACTATACAAATTTGAGAAATGACTCTATGAAAATGTTATATATATACTCATAAAACCCATAACAAAACCCGCAACCACAAAATTCCACAGACACCCAATCCTTCCCTTCATCGCTACGAACAATCTCAAACACCTCAATCCATGTCGACCTCCAACAAAGCTGTTGATTTCATAAAAGACTTGACCCCATGGTTGTCAAGTCTAACTGGAAAGTAAATGTTCGAATCCTCTACATATGGACAATAACTTTTGGGGTGAACTCATCCGTCGAAACTTTACTTATGGACGAAGAGATAACTACTAAATTTTATAGTTTATAGAAGTTTTTGAATTGATGTTTTCCTAATAGCTTTTTGACCCCGATTCCCAATGATTACAATTGATTTTTTCTTCATATGTATATTGGCAGGGTAATAAAATTCAGGCTTCTATCCACAAAAAACTCATGTGGAAATTTCAAAAACTTCTTGAAGATGGAGAGGGAGAAACTAGACAAATCACCAACTTTGATTTGGCCGAAAACACTGGAAATTACAAGTTGAATAAGCATCCCTACAAAATTGCTTTCATGCGCAACACAAGGGCGCAACACAAGTCGAACAATATCGTTGTCCATTATGCACTGGAATTAATTAAAATGTATATTTTGGGCTTTTGTTACGTGGGTTTTTCTACATCAAAAGATCTGGCTAGGTTTTGCATATGTAAACCTAATCTGATTAAATATTTTTAGTTAAATAAAATATCTCCTTTGTATCTTTGATACAGGCGGATGATAGTTTTATTTTCTTACACTGATTAAATTTTCATAAATGTCCACAACGATAATGAATTGGAAAGAAAATTGTGCCCCCGGGAGTTTTTGATAGTTATATGAACTTTTTCCTAGTCATATTTCATAGTCATACAAGGGAGAGATGAATTGATTGATGTCTTTTTATTGGAGCCGCCGGGACTGACGAGGCTCAAACCCACAACTTCCGCCTTGACAGGGCGGTGCTCTGACATACGATATAATTTTTTTTTGACTTCATATTAGATCTTTGAAGGGTTTAATGGCAGG